TGTTGATACGAATCGCATTCGAATCATACGGATTTCCCGGTTCCCTTCTAACCATGACCTGTTCACCAGCCGTCGCAAATCCCTCATAAAACCTAACGCCCACAATCTTCCCATCAAGAGTTCCAACCAACACCCAACCAAACCCCTCTTCAACATCTTGACTCAAATCAATAATCTCATCTTCACCACCCTCACCCCACTGATCACGGACATTCAAAGCTTGACTCGAGTTTGAATTTCCAGCTGCCTGTGAAGGTCTCGAAGAACCAGAACCAGCTCTTGATAGACCAGGTGTAGAATTAAGTCTGGGTTGCTTGGGCTGAGCGTGAGGTACCTCATCTTCCGAATCCGAGTTTGTCAAATCGACAAAACCGGACGACGCGCTACGTTTTCCTAAATTCGACATGATGAATCTAAAGAGCGATTTTTAATGTACCAAAATTCCAAAATGTGGTTGTTGCGAGGGAAAGCTCGACGCGTTTGCAAGGTTCAATTAATTTCGGCAACTACATGGGTATGGAACGCCTGAGCACGTGATCATGGGCTTTGTGCCTAATCGATTTGTTTGTGTGTTTGTGTGTTTGTGTGAAATACTTCTCATGTGTACATGTGTAGATTGATTGCTACCTCTCACATACCACCACTTGCGATTACGAACTGAACAGCGATATTGCATTGTTGTAGACTCATCCCATATAAGCATAGATAACATTAACTCAAGTCCTCTTTTGCTTTCTTTCCTTCTACCTTCTCCCAGGAACATTAACATTCAACCTCCCATTCTCATATGCAGCTCATCGTCATCGACATCACCCAAAACCAAGCTTCTTATCCCTGCTCGCTTCATTCGAAAGAACAGGATCCAACACATGCAACGCCTGGAATCAATAGATAGACAACGCAAGCCTGATGAAATTTTTGGATCGTTTGTCTTTCAGTTCCCAAGGTCTTCAAGATTAAGATGATATGATATTTGTGATTAGAAAGTCGTGTATTTTGTCCAATTTGTTGATCGCTTTTGCGAACTTTGGTGTGAATTTGTATGTTTGAACAGGGCAGCAAATTATATTTACGTCGTCTTTCATATCCCAAGTCAAGATGATTCGAGAGAGGTTATTGATGTTATTGATTAACATTTTCTGTATGTTCGTTTTCTACAATCTTCCATCATCGGGTTATGAATTTAGAAAACTGATCGAATTAAAGGTCCGCCTGTGACAGTCATGGCTGTGAGTATCTTCTCCCCCTTCCTCAACCTCAATTCCACTAAGCTAGGCTGACATCTACCCCAGATCGCAGGCGTAAGTGCCGATTGTCTCCTCAACACTATCCTTTTTCTCCTTGGCGTCATTCCCGGTCACATCCACGGTTTCTACATAACCTGCACTTACTTCTCTCGAAAGAGTAAAGTTCGAAAGGGGCAGTATCCAGGCGGACCCAAAATGGGTATTTATAGTGAGAGAGTTTGGTATGGGGGTGCCAGCTCACAACGCATAGATGAGTTGTGGGAGAAGAGGGAAAGTGAGAGGGTGGAAAAATTGGAGAAAAAGGGGATAGGATTTTTGGGAAGAAAGAGTCAAAATGGGAAAAACAACGGGAGAGGTGAGGTACTGAGAACGCATAGTGATATGGGAGTAGAGAGTATGAATTCAAGCGCTGGTAGAGGGGGTGGCGTAGGAATGGAGAGAAGCACGACGATGGCATAGAATATTGCAACGGATAACATTCAAAAGGGTTTGGCATTGAGTTATGCTCACTTGGGCACAGAAGAAAAGTAAATGTTGACAAGCCATGTTTCCTGAGCAAATAGAGAGGGACCGAGAGAAGTTAAACACACTTTTGCATAGAGCTTGCTCGTAATCTAATGGCCTCTGTCTGATTCTTCTCCTTCCAATACTATATGATCTTCAGAATATTGGTATAAACGTACTTCTGCCGCTCGATATATCCTCAAAATCTTGTTTCCTTTAAAAAAAACTAAAAAAAACTCGTAACTTAACAGCGAAAAGTGTTGCGCGCCAAGATTTCCTTATCCATAAATAGTCTTACAAATTTGCACGCAACGGGTATCCTCGCAAAATATTCGAAATGCACATCAACCGCGTGCAACTGTTCACTTGTCGATGTTGTCAAAACCATAAATAGGCCTTCCTTGTCGACGCAATCCCCAAATGACCTAACATGAAATTATCAGCTTTGAGTCTCAACCAGCTCCTGTAGCACAAGGAACCTACATCGTTGACAGTGATCGTCTTTCTCTTCGAGTGCTCAACTATTGCGACGCAATCCTTCAAAACCTGTAAGGTATTAGAAATGACGATTCTCAGTATTGTAACGAGACACAGACCTCATTCAAACGTGATTTAATCGCCTCACGAACATCGCCATAGATCATCGATGAGATACGCTTGACACCGCCTCTGCGTGCTAGACGTCTATGAATTGTGGTTAGTTTGCATCTTCAGCCTTATCGCGGGAGTACTAACCGAATATCACCTTTGGTAATACCATTGATGTTATCTTTTAAAACCTTTCTAAAATTGGCAATCTATCAGAAGATTGTCCATAGCATTTGTGAATTGTACAATCCTTGAGGGTAGTGATAAATGAAGTAGTCTTAAGAATCTCCAAAGCATGTAAAATCGATCGATCCAAAAAACTTACCGATGTCTTCTCAAACGTGAACCACCTCCAATTCCCCTACCACCTTGCCCGGTCTTGCCCTTGCCTCCGCCAAGGCTTGACATCACAGTCTTCCCGGCCATTGAATGATGACCTTTTCGAGGGTATGGTGAGGATAAGGCTTGTGGTGCCATTCTAATACAAGAAGCTGATATACGGCTTTAGAGGAGGTAGGAATTTATCGTAATAGTATTACTCAATTATACATCCAATGGAATCGAGATACTTGTTGTTTGAAAGTTGAAAGGGATTGAACAAACGAAAGTTGAACGCGGCTGGGAAGCGGGGGAAAACGAAGTCACGGGACTTGAGACTAGCGCGTTTTTCTCCCTTTTCCTCTCACAAGGTCTCGTTTTCAATACTAGATATAGGTATACTGAGCAATTTTTTTATTCTGAAAAGAACTTCTGTTAATATCCAAGTCTTCTAAAGAGACTCTATTACCCCATAAGATATCTCCAAGCCCTAAAATGTGTATGCACTTATTCTCTAATGCAGCCATGATGTCTCTTGTTCTGTTGACGCCCAAAACCCCCAAAAAATTGACAAGTAAAAACATCAGTGGCATAAACTTAAGTCCCAAGGTATCATTCGCAAATAAACGTTGCTTCTGTATATAAAACTCCCTCCTCTGTAATTTCTTCATCTCCGATCTTTAGTGTAAAGGTGGTTGGCTTGCTACGCGGGGAGTACTACATGCAATATTAGTATCACGGAATTTTGTAGAAAATATGTATGACAAACCTGGTAGATATATGGTCTTGTTCCAGCGACATTTCCCACGATTTTCTTTACAAACCCAGGAACTTCGGCCATAACATCAACTCTATCAAGTCTTTCCTCGAGGTCTGTTTCGATTAAACCAGAAACAGATTTTCCGTCCTTTGTCTTTCCTTGCCAATCGAATTTGACAGCCTCTGGTTCCGGCCAACCAGCATCCTCATCATTCTTGATCCTGGTGTGTTTTGCGGTATTTCCAGCCCCAGCACAGATGATTTCACCATCCTTGACTATGCCACCGACACTAACGACGGTAGAACCATATGCTGGAGGTGTGGTGTATTCCATCATTATAGCTGAAAATTGTGGACCTTGATAGTTGACAAAATTCCACTTTGCGGCAGCGTGATGTGGTTTCATTCCCTGGAGTGCATGTATGAATAATGCCTTGCCCTTGAAGTCTATTGACCCATCTTTGGTTGTAATGGAACCTTTAGTGATAGTTCGTGGCCAGAATGCATGTCTCATCGAACCCCAAGGGGCCTTTGGATCTGTGCCATAATATGATTTGCCATCCTTACCGACGTGGAAACCCGGAGCAACTCGAGTCACTGTGAGGTTGACAATAGATGCTTCATTCGTCATGGATTTGATAGTATATTCTGTGCCATCCTCAGAGAGATCAATAGCAACATCGTCTGCATAGAAGCAGGTTTTATCATCGCTGAATTCGACGTTGTCGAGTTGATCGGAACTCCATAAATTAGGCTTTGAGCTGCCTTTAGGATAGGAGATTTTGCAGTTGAACTGAGTTGTCGTTCGCACGCCACTTTCTAAAGTATTAGAATCGCGTTCTTACAAGGAGAGAAGTGTAAATCGTACATAACATTACTGTGTATAATTTGCGCCATAGCAATATGTCCACTATCAGCCATGAAGTAGAAAGTCTGAGTCTCCACACTCGTTGAATCCATAGCGATCCATTTCATATCCTCTCTCGAAAGTTCAGTATATGGCGTGGTTTCTGCTTGCTTGCCGACTGGTATAATTGCTGACGGTCCATAGATTGGTTCCGCTGTGCCGGCGACATTGGCCATTGTTTTTTTAGCCCAGTTCATCATCTTGAATGTTTGTGTTATTGTAGCTTTGGGAATTGAAGTGATTTATTGTGATGTATGTTTGTCTTTGAGAGAGGGGCAACCGTCCTTCAAGTACCAAGATGACCCCCCACCATCTTGTTCCTGCCTAATGCATCCACCAAGCCATATTTAATCACGTGCAAGCCCCTTTCATAGATTAGAAGGGATTAATCTTGCTGTCGTTTGCGAAGAATATCAAATTGTATACATATGACGTACTATAGTAAAAGGCATTGTGTCGCACCATTTTACAGAAATCAAATGAGTTTCGGCATGTGGATTATCTGAAATTTGGGGTAACCTTGAAAGGCTGAATGGATCCTTGACCACAGAAACCCATGTCGTTTGCAAAACCTTATCGACAAGGCGACAGACGTGGCCTAAAATTTTAATTTATCAAATTGACCTCAAGAACACTTCATTACCAGGACATCTTCCTCAGCCAGCACCTTAATCACGATGTCGAAAGCACGCGCAGCTTCAGATGTGATAGTGAAGCTCATTGTAGGAGCAGGACAAGCCAGTCCTAGTCCTCCAGTTGGTCCTGCTTTGGGAAGTAAAGGTGTGAAGTCAATGGATTTTTGCAAGGTACGCATAGCCCCAAGTTGCGCAGTTCTTGAAATTTGTTGCATCTTTGAGTTCGTCTGTATCAAAATTACAATTTTTGTCGCTCTCAATTGGTCACTCAGTCTAATAGTTTCACTAGGAATTTAATGCAAGAACTGCTCATATGAATCCAGGAACCCCAATTCCTGCGAGAGTTACAGTACGACCAGATCGATCATTCCATTTTGAACTACGCACACCGTCAACATCATGGTTACTTCTCAGTGCTGCGGGCGTTGAAGCGAAAAAGGGAAAGCTAAAGGGAGCACCAGATTCGACATCGGTTGTGGGTACTGTCAGTCTGAAGCACATCTACGAGATTGCCAAAATAAAACAATCGGAATTGCGCCTGTCAGGTTTATCTTTGGAGGGGCTTTGCAAATCAGTGATTGCGCAGGCGAAAACCATTGGTGTTAAAGTTGTTGCATGAAGGGGCGGAGGGGTTGTCGATCAGGCTGATTGGAAAAGGCTGAGTCAAACTATATGTGTGATATCATTGCGGCGGCGTTGGGACTCATATGTACACTACTCTCAGAGGGAGACCTGAGATTACGTGGTGTAAAATAGACGATTTTCATGACGGTTTAACCTCGAGAATGTTTCGACTAGGACATAAATACTTCGTTAACAGGATTGATGAATCCGAGTTATGAGTGTTTGTCCAATAGGATGCTTAGAAATGGACTCATGAATCAATACAAACTTTTCTAAAACCATGCACACTTGGCATATCAGTTTCATTTTGCTGTGTATCAAGACTGTGCTTCCCAATGCTTGATTATTGGGCGCTCAGCGGGAGTGAATAGTTAAGTAGGCTCGTCGGTAGGTCATGCTTCGTAAGATGTCTCTTGAGTCTTCACGGAACGGATGTCTCTCATTGGAAATCCGAGACGAACTCCGGATTGCTTCGAGCTAATTGGATCACGTGCAAGCATCTCCTCCAATCCTTCTGGAACTCTTTGCGCTACCCCAGCAGCGAAATCGGGCCTCCAGGGGTTGTCCTCGGTAACACTCGGTATCACTTAGGCTTGGCTTTGACAGTGGAGTTCTAGAAGAAACCTAGAAGAATCGTATCCCAGCGAGCCCAGCTATTTTCGACCAATGCAGCCTTAAGTGTCAATAAAGCAGGAAGATCTACAAACCAAATCGCCCCCCCGAGAATGTGCAACGATCCACTCACAAACGATGCTCAGTGTCGGATGTGCCGGGACAAAATACGATGGTAATGTTGTACAGGCAAGCAGGCGCCTCTGTAGACTCGACATGCATAATCTTGTGCCTGCTGAGCTGCTGTGCAAGATGGAGACTCTGGCGAATTAAGCAATTAGAGATGCCTGGTATTAATTTGAGTCTTCTGATTTGAGGGACTCGAGACGGAACCAATTTCTCCATTGTAGGCGAATTGCTGGTTCCAATTACATCGAGACATATGCCTTGTTTGTTGTAATGAGTTTTGCTGTAATGAGTCTCCGAAGTAAAGATGGCCAGTCAGTACTTATTATTGATAGGCTGCCCCCCTTTCTCATCAATGGTTATAACTTAACAGGCGGAATTAATGATGTAGACCTCAATCACCAGTGGCCAGTCAGCCACATGTACTGAAGGTCTCCGAAGTATAGTCTACGTACGTGCCTCTGTAAAAGTGCTGTTCTAGGTTGGGCTTTAAGTTTTCCCCTCTGTTTATTTTTATCCTGCCTCTCTTGAAATTTCGATCCACCTCTCCGTAATGCCTGGCTTAAAACGGAATGATGGTGGTCGAGACCTACACAGTAGATAATGTCAGCTTCTGTGATTTGCTGAGGACGAGAGTATCTATCTACGTACGTACGCAGAAAAAAGGACTCGATTTTCTCTCTGGCATCACATGCGTTTCTAAGAGCGCGAAGAGTTTACCAGTACAGAGTAGACCTCGTACCTCGTACCCCGTACCCCGTGCCCCGTACCTCGTAAAAACTTTTCCTTTTTCTTTTCCAAGCGACAACATCCTGACCGGATGTAGAAAAGAGAGAAAAGAAGCCAAGACTTTTTGGTCATATCATTAGTAAGATATGTGTAATCCAAATGAATGCGAGTCAATGGAAATTATCTTCAACCGGTACGATGTAGACAGGCTGGTGCAAACCACCCGCCGGCACTCGAGTAATATCCTTTTTGATGAATGCTTCTGACATCAACGGTCCCATGTCTCTTCATCTCATCCAACCTTTTACACTGTTGCTCGATAGACGCCTTTTGGTAATACTCTGGTAGTCTGTACATAGCAACTCGAACAATTCAATCTACATAATTATCCGGCTCACAAGATCTATACCGCCCACCATACACCAACAATCCATCCATCACACACATGAATTGGAAGGAAATAGAGAAGGCCTCGGAATCTACCTCGCACATGCCTACCGTCACACTACTTCGTACAGTCATCCATCTTCTTGTAATCATTAATAAAGCCGGTGCAAATCCGACCTATCACACTCGGTATCATTGATTACAGATTACCGGGTACTGTATTATATCGGACCTTTCCTACTTCATCCAGCATCGAGTATTACCTTGCTTATTATTATGCTCTAGGGTCTCTTAGTCTTTTCGCATTCCAGGTAGGTTCAATTATTATTAACCGGTAACCCGTCATCATTTTTATTCTTGTTCCACCATCATCATTCAAATCCTTCCTCCACTCAGAGTTCGAACTTCGACTTTGACTTTTGGCTACTCCAGTCTACCACCCACCACCCATTGAAAATCCTCAAAGATCCGGTCTTGGTATCCCTACTACCTCCCCTCCCAGTTCTTAACCATTTTTTCCACACTGTCGGTGACTTGGACTGGTACATAAATTTCTTGGTTGTACATAATCTAATCGAATCAGTTAGAGAAGATTCTTTCCTCGAATCTTCAAAGACTTCATTACAATAATCAGTCACAAAATATACATACAAGTACATACAAGTACATACTTTGTGCGATTAATTACTTGCTCCATTCGCATTTTCCATCTTTCTCTTCGCCGAACATTCAATCGGATGGTTAATCATTCATCGATTGGTGCAAAACTTATCATCTCGGCTTCTTCTTCCGTTTAGTTTGCTCTCTTACAGTATTGTATCCGCTTTTGACTCAAGAGAAACGCTCCGAAAGCCCCACCATCAAACCTCCAAATTCTCCTTTCAGATTCATCCTTCTCATTTACAACCTGCCCCGACTTTCGTGAAGGCTCCGGAGGGCTATCCTCGACCATAGTGCAATTGCTCCAATATCCTATACCCCCCATCGCTCTCACTATGGCTGAACGTCAAGAATCATCATCGTCTACTCAGACGGCCCCGCTTGGTGAGTCTGCGCTTACTGCTGCTGTTGTCGACCCAATCACAACATCTTGTCAACATTCATTGAGGAAGTGAGGCTAACAATGGCCACGCAGGCTCTGCACCTTTCAAATTGAACGGCAAATCTTCTACTGAAGGTTCCCCACAAGTCCGATTCGCCGCGGTCAACGAGCAAATAGCACCGGATGCAAGCTTCGCTGGTCTGGATCACAGCACGGCTGCGCAGAACATGTTAGATAAGGAGCAGGTAGATTTGGATCAGTTATCGAAGACACTTCAAGGAACTCATCTACAAGAGCGTCGCATGAGCCATTTTGCATTCGAGCCTGTGTCTCTACCAGCTTCGAGAGTACGTCATTTCTGTTTGCAAGATTCTATATTTCAACGGGTTCTACCATGTGTGGTTTGTTATTTCAGCTTGAAGTGTCAAACTGTAATAAGGTGAAAATTTGGCCGAACCACGGGCTAGATCTAGTAGACTCTATGCATTAAGAACCACAATTTGCTTTGCAAGGGATACGCATTATATGGCCCACAATAGCGCGTATTGCTGTTGTTCATAATTTTGACTTGGTTTTTGTTTTCAGTCTTTGACTGTCCTACTAACACGTTGAATTATAGATACCCTCAACCGAAGAGAACTCGCGAGAGGCTAGCCGATATAATACACACAGTTCTTCGAGTCGACCCTCCCCCCATCAAAGTCCTCGAACATCATCCATGCATTCTCCACCCATAACCCCTGCTGCAACACGATCGAGAGATGCTCCGACCGAAGCAGCAAAGGAAGTTCCTGTCCAGAAAGTGGTTGCAGAGGGGGATCCGGCGGCTATGACACCTCAGATTTCACCACCTAGAACCTCACCCTCAACTACCAACGCCGATGCGTCTCGGCCTGGATCCTCTGGACAAATGATGACTAGCCCTACTTGCAATTCCAACGAATCATCTCAATCAAAACCACACCATACTTTTTCGATTGGTCCTACTGCAAACGACACCTCCGTTCCTGTATCTCGGGAACCTAGTCCCGCCCGTTCTGCTACTCCCTCAGCCTACAGCAGACCTTTTACGCCAGCCGGTGATATAGATGATCCTTACGCCGCATCTAGAAGGGTCCCGCAGCCCAAAAATGCCGAAGCTATTGAGTCGAGGTTCAGATTTGGCGCGGTAGGCGCAAAGAACCGACAATCTCCAAGCTCATCCACAACCAGTTTGCCTAGATCCTCTAGAAGTGCGGCAGACGGTAAAACACCGGCACAAGGTGTTGAGAAACGACATACTGGATTGTTCGGACATAAAAATCATTTATCGGGTGTCCATGATGATAGTGCATCAACAATACACAAAGCTCACGGTTCCATGTCAGAGCTCAAGCGATTCTTGAAAATTGGTCAACACAAAGCCAAGCGTGCTGGTTCTCCAACACCATCTACTAAATCCGGTACCTCAATCAACAAAGCATCACCATCTAGCAAAGGGCAACAGCTTCCATTTGGTGATGACCACGGACTGACTTCGAAATATGGCAAGTTTGGAAAGGTTCTTGGAGCCGGAGCTGGAGGCTCCGTACGTCTGATGAAGCGAAGTAGTGATGGTAAAACATTCGCCGTAAAGGAGTTTCGCGCCAGACATTCTTATGAATCAGAAAAGGAATACACGAAGAAAGTAACTGCCGAATTCTGTATAGGGTCAACTCTGCATCATGGTAATATTATCGAAACATTGGATATTGTGCAAGAGAAAGGTAAATGGTACGAGGTTATGGAATATGCACCTTACGATCTATTTGCCGTTGTAATGACTGGTAAAATGTCGAAAGAAGAGGTTACCTGCTCATTTCTTCAGATTTTGAGTGGTGTCACATACTTGCATAGTATGGGTCTCGCCCATCGAGATTTGAAGCTTGATAATGTTGTGGTCAACCAATATGGTATTATGAAGATTATCGATTTTGGTAGTGCTAGCGTGTTCTTGTACCCCTTTGAAGGAGGCATCACGCTATCCAGTGGTACGTTAATCTAAACTCCCACGAAAATTATGCTAATATTCTTGTTGTAGGTATCGTTGGCTCCGATCCTTACCTCGCTCCAGAGGTGTATGACGAGAAGAAATATGACCCACAGCCAACTGATATCTGGTCCCTTGCAATCATCTTCTGCTGCATGTCTTTACGTCGATTCCCATGGAAAATGCCCAGAATGACGGATAATTCGTTCAAGTTATTTGCCTCTCCTCCATCACCAAAACCAGAACATCAAAATGGAGCAGCCGCACCAGCCACAAAGGAGTCGGATACCAAATCGCCTCATTCGAAAAACGGTCCCAACGGCTCTGGTTCTGATGTTGACATGCTCACCTTGATTAACTCTATTGAATCAAGGAAGCCTCCTGAGCCACCAAAACCAGAAGTGATTAAAGGACCAGATAGATTACTCCGTCTCCTACCCAGAGAGAGTAGGGAAATTATCGGATTGATGTTGAAGCTGGATCCAAAGAAGAGAGCTACGATGGCACAGATACTGGACAACCCCTGGGTAAGAGATACAGTGATATGCCGTCAAGACTCAGATGGCAAAACCATATCGGCTCCAGGCCATACACATACTCTTGAGCCACCAACACCACCTCCTTCCTCGAAATAACGAATTTTACGTAGCCTTGGATGACTCTCCATTTGCATAGTCGGGGTTGGGATTAGGGGGCGTTTTGGGTGGGATGGTTTTACATAGGTTGATTGGTTCATATTGATAGCACTACTTCACAGTGTAGTGCATAAGGCTCATTTTTAGATAGTAGAGGAATTTTGATAGATTGTATATCCATAGGAGTGTTGGAAGTCTTATATTATTTTGGAATCGTTACTAGATACATACCTCGGAGTCTTTATAGATAGGAATGTTGTTGAGTCCTTATGAAATCAACGACTGTTTTTAATTAGAGCATACCTAGCTATATATAATATTCTTGAAATATGATTGTACCTAGTCTACTTGTTATTTGTTTAGATGAACAGTCGAAACGAGAATCAATGATAGAATTCGGCTGCTCAAGTGACAATTCGTGAATGTGATCCACTCCCATCCCTCTGGCGTTAACTTTCATTTTGTTTTATAATCAACACATCTCCTACCTCTTCTATTCCCTCCACGGCCTCCATTAATGTTTGTCTCTCTTCTTGCTCGTTGATCCGGAGTACGTGGGGTCTTCCAGAATAGCATGTCAGCCAAGATTCGACAATTCAATAACTTATTAAAAGTTTTGAAAGCTTCAAACTATTCTTCAATTTCCTCATATCATTATCATTTGATAATTGAGCAGATTGTTGTAAAGGGTTCACTGCTGTGTGTGGAGAAATGTGTAACATCATGTGACCGGGTGGGTGTCTTGATCAATGGCCGATGTTCGGTTAAAGAAGATTCGAGAAACCCGAGAGGTACAAATTATTTTTCTCCACACCCAGTCCTCCGAGCTTCAATTCTTTGATATCACTCCAAATAACTCTCTGCCAATTACTTTCTATTCAAAATTTCAACACCTTCAAAATGGTGAGTGAGCCTTTCAATTTACTTACGCCTTGAAGACTTCATAGTTCGGGGCGGTCACAATGCCTGTGAAAGCCTACAGAGCATCTTAGCTTTACCTCTGCATTATAGCTGCTAATGAATATTGATATTGCAGTCTACCACCCTCAAGTCCATCAAGTCCCTCGCTCCTCTCCTCGACCGTGTCTTGGTCCAGAGAATCAAGGCTGAGACCAAAACCGCCAGCGGTATCTTCCTTCCAGAATCAAGTGTCAAGGAGCTCAACGAGGCTAGAGTTTTGGCTGTTGGTCCAGGAGGTTTGGATAAGGATGGAAAGAGAGTTAGCTGTAGTGTGCAGGCTGGTGACAAAGTTTTGATTCCTCAGGTAAGCTCGATGGGTGTGTGGTAGATGAGGCGGGGGGTTCCAAAGGTGTTTATTTGCTTGGATTCATTCTTGCAGATGTGGTGGATGGCTGCCGCATGGATCAGGAACGACGGTTTCGGAAGTTGTGGAACATATGGATGATTGAGCTGCGCTGACTAGGAGTAGTACGGAGGATCGCCAGTTAAGGTTGGAGAAGAGGAATACTCTTTGTTCAGAGACCATGAGTAAGTACAATGTTCTTCGCGCATTCTCCTGCCTTGGAACATGTCACTGACATTAGCTACAGTATTCTTGCAAAAATTAACGAATAAATGCTTTCACGATCTGACGAGTTGATGGAGGGTGTACCATAAATGTATTAAATCGAGCATAGCGGGCAAAGAAAAAAAGATATCAAGTAAAAAGGATGTTGGAAAAACATGTCGATGAACTAGCCTAATACTAAGGGGCTCAAGGGGACGAAGTTTTTGTGTATACCTTGACCTCCGCCGGTGGATTGCCGTGCATGAATTTAAATGAATCTCTTCTCCTCAAATATCAAAGTGTTTCGGGGTACGATTTTGATCGCAATCCAAGGGATTGTGTTTGCATCGGACATTAATTCGCAGGCATTGAAAGTTATGTCGTGCTTGTGTCAGAGGATCATTCCCGTATCATGGTTCCTCTTGATGCAGTTTACAATGAGTAGTGAGCGATGGGGCAAAAGAGACCCCTGACGAACATGCAAAGGTGCATGATCATTTATTGCGGCTGTCAAAATGGAGGTGTAACTTTTGGGTACTTGGGCAGTTGGGTAGGTAAGTGATATATGGGTAATTGGCGTTTGTTTCTCAAGCCAAGGATAGGGCCGTTTTCTGAAACCAAACGAAAATGTTTTACCGCCCTGTCCAATTTCTCGAGGAAAACGGAGAACCAATGAATGATGTTGTCATACATGTAATGGATATTCCTCTAGCTGCGCCTTTGACCCAACTACTTCATGTCCAGATTGTTCCATGGGTCGGATTGTAGGTTATAGGATCGATATGCATTGTGTAGATGACAGGATTGATACATTTCCTTATTCGCACGCCAGTAGTTTGGTCTGTCTTTGAATCGAAACACAAGAATAACTAAAAAGTAAATTCTTACATACATGTATCACAAAGTACGGTTTCTTAATCACTAATAATCTACTTGTGGTAAATGAATGGTTAACTGTTAAAGTGAATAGGAGATTCGAAGCCATAAACGAAAAGTTTGTCGTATGGAAACAATAACAATAACAATATAAACAATTGTTTCTGTACAATAGCACACCGAATCCTTCTTTTTCTTATTAACCAGCACTTTTTGAATCATCACGATTCTATTTTCTTTGCGTTCCCAGCACCACACTCCTTTGGTTCTTTAAAAAAAGAATCTTCTGCTTTGCAATTGTTTGTCTTACTTCTTCTCACATACTACCCAAAAACATCAGTACAGAATACACAACTGTTTACACACATCGTCTTCCGAAGTTGATCTTTCGAGGAAATATGAAACTATCTTCTTTCACGTTCGCCCTGGTGGCATGTTACTCTTCTCAGCTGGTATCTGCACATACAGTCTTCACGACGCTTTTTGTGAACGATGTATCGCAGGGCGATGGAACTTGTGTGCGCATGCCCTCGGATCCTAGCACGGCTACATTTCCCATCAACGATTTGGATAGTGATTCGATGGCCTGTGGTGAGTTTTCTCTCATGAAATCTGTGTTAAATTGTAGTGATGAGTGCTGATGAGCATAGGATTTAATGGAACACGAGGAGTCGATCGCGTCTGCGCGGTTAATCAAACGGCGAAGTTGAGCTTCTTGTTTCGAGAGTATGCGGATGGTTCCCGGGAGGGCGCCATCGATCCAAATCATAAGGGTCCTTGTGCGGTGTATATGAAGCGTGTGGCTTCGGCTGTTAATGATACGGCGGTGGGATCTGGTGGGTGTTTTACTTTTGCTTTTTTTTTTTTTGGATGTTGAAAGCAGGAAGCCTAGGGTTGCTTGACCAGGTGTCTGTTTGTTCATATGTTTGTGTGAAACTAACTTGTCTATAGGCTGGTTCAAAATCTGGGACGAAGGCTACGACAACAGCACACAGAAATGGTGCACCGAGAAGCTCATCCAAAACAATGGCTACCTCTCCATCAACATCCCCAGCGATCTAGTAGGTGGATATTATCTCGCTCGACCCGAACTTCTCGCCCTCCATCAAGCTGACAAAACTCCCCCAAACCCTCAATTCTACACCGGCTGCGCACAAATCTATCTCGATTCCCCTGAAACCGGCGTCCCAAAAGATACAGTCAGTATACCCGGCTACGTCAACATCCACTCCCCATCCGTCCTCTATAACATCTGGAATCCCCCACCTACACCCTACACCATGGCGGGTCCCGCCCCCTACCAACCCGGCATCTCTAGTGTGTCCAACATCACCGGTAGCAAGGCCGCAAAATTCTCAACCTTCACTGCGAAACAGAACGAAGGGGTTTTACCGCAAGATGCAGCTATCACGAATGCGAATTGGTGGGGCGTCGAAGTCGCTGCGTATACCACTGAAGCAGGGTGCTGGGATGCCAGCGAGAATTGCTGGAATCAAACGACGGTGTGTTATGATAGTGCGCCGCCGACGGGGGATAAGGGGTGTAGGGCTTGGGAAGCACATTGTACGGAGATTCAGAAGGGGTGTGAAGGGGGGGATTTTAAGGGGCCGCCTGGGATTGTTAAGGCCGAGGGAGTAACGGGGACGACGGCGACGATTGCCCCGGCGGCGACACAGACAGGAGGTGTGTATGCGGCGGGTTCGCCAGTGGTGAGTGTGGGAAGTTTGGGCACGAGTGAGGATGGGAAGTGTGGGGATGGGAATGGCCAGACGTGTAAGGGGAGTGTGTTTGGGGAGTGTTGTAGTCAGGTGGGATATTGTGGGGGAAGTGAGAGTTATTGTGGAGTGGGGTGTCAGGGAGATTTTGGAGTTTGTAGTTGAGGCTTTTGGGGTGGGTTGGAAGGAGGAGAAGGGGAAGGGGGGAGAGGATAGGCGAGAGGATGAGATGAGAAGATTATAGAATGGAGTGAAAACGAGAAAATGTGATAGCTCTGTAGTGAGCTATGAAATGAGAGGATTGGAAGCGGGAAAGGGAGAGGGAGGAGGGGGTGATATTCAACGACGACTTTTTCACGAAATCTTGAAGAAATCTTTCATTTTTATTTTTATTTGGAATTGCATTTACATTTAGGCCTGGGTTCAAGTTCAAGTTCACCTTCTCTGACAGACGACCACGCAATTTGAAAGAAAGGATAGGAAGGAAAGAAGGATATGATATGGCAGATCGAGCAGGCTTCGATACTCCTCTTTAGACAATGAAGATTATGAACATTCTATTCTCTTCTGTACATTCTTTTTATGTCCTCTTTAGATCTTAGATTCTAAATCCTAGATCAAAATAATCAAACATCAAATATCAAAAATACAAAAAGTTTGAAACACAAAAAATTCAGAATAAACACATCTACCTACCTACCTACCTACCTACCTGTCAAATACCCAGCTACTTACATAAATCAATCCTTCCATTTCTACATTTCCATCTCTTCATATTTTCATCTTTCCATCTCTTCAGTTCTCAATTCCCAAATACCAGAAGTTAGAACACTGCCTAGATACTCATAAGAGCGAGTATGCATGCACATACGTACCTATTTATCTACGTATTATGTATTATGTATTACAGATATTCATCACAATAGCTACCATCTTGTAATCTAGGAAAACGTAACTTTATTACTACTACTCTATCATCATCATCATCATTATCATTATTATTCTTAAAATCAAAATAATACCTATTAGAACACATACATACATACATATATACATACATACATATATATACATACTTACACACAACTTCTCTACTCCCAAGTCCCCAAAGTTCCTCCCCAAAATCCCCACACACCAGAAACTACCCCCCTACTTTCCGCGATCCCCAAACCGAAGTGTCATGCTCCAAAGGCAATCTCATCTCATATCTCAGATAATACCACTTCTGCAATTTCGAAGTATCTCATATTGGTATTCGTAACATCTAGTAGAATTAGAATTACACGTCGATGAATCTTACATGCCTAAAATGATGCGAGTGCAGATATAAGAGTTCGGACTGTGTAGCTCTTTCCATTGCCGTATCAAATGCCACGTTTTGGAGCCACGCTGTGTGAAGAATATTGAACTGCATTCTACGCATCTATCTTCAGAGTATAATGTGAATTGTATTACCAAAAAGCACTCTACTAAGAAAATATCTTCCTCTAGTCTTTCGCCCTCCAGGCTTTGCTGTGCTGTGCTATGCAATAAAACCCCATAAAATATCAGAATCCCTGCTAAAATCTACAATTTACAAAGGAAAATTTATTCACACAGCCATTTAATGTATCTTCTTATCTCCTTATTTCCTTATTAACCATCCTGTGACAAATGAAATCTAACATCTTCCGTTCTTACTTGGCACCTTTCAAGCAGCTTCAGCCATGATTTGTTCACCCTCATCCAACATCTCAGTAATCTTACCCAGATTCTGGATCATGCTACGGCCCTGTCCCACCAACAACAATTTCTCCGCATTAGCCGGTAGACCCAAATAAGTAGGAGGTTCACGCTCGGGCAGTTTCTTAACCCATTCTGTGAAATCCTTCATTGTAGTTCCGCTTGGTACGACCAAGTTTCCAGTATCGGATTCATCACCAGCAATACCTTCGACCAATTTATGACCGATGTCATAGGCGGCTGGAGTCATGAAAGAGTGGACAAGTTGTGTGAGGCGTGCAAAATCTCCTTCATCATCAATTTTACCACCGTATGTCTCCACAATGAGTGTGCGAAGCATATCCCAAGGGAGGTTTTGTGGGGCCACATTAGATCGTCCTGCAGCTACTGTTTCAACCCAGGTATCGATGATATACGCAGAACATTCATACTATAAGAGGTTAGTATAGATAAAGGAGATTGGGTATGGCAAACTTACATCACTATCGTTGAACTCCCAGAACCCTTTCCACCCAAGACTAGGAGCATATCTCAAACGCTCTTGAACGACAGCGTGCAAGAAAGACAAGAGCAGATACAATCTTGTTCTTTCTACAGGAGTCTTTGTACCTCTGGTAGAAAGTGATGCCATAGAATCCTTCATGTTGGCTCTGACACCGGCTGGCTGCTCGTACATCAACACTCTGGATGCTCGCAACAAATTGACAGGAATTTTAGGACTGGATTCCATTGACAAGAACAATCTAAAGTTTGCATGGGGTTTGAGTGAATCCATGCGTTTCTCCAGACTTTGTAGCCAGGTTGGTGCCAAATGAACGTTCTTGACAAGGACCCATGATCCGTTGGCAGCTGCATTACTGATAGCTTTATCAGCGGTTGCTAACCCTTCATTAGAACCCATAGCAATGTTGGTACACGCGGCTCGTGATTGCTCCACGAGGTTCTCGACTTTGTAACTTGCATCGAACCCGGGGCTTGAGCAAAGTGCAATAGGACGGCTTGCAGATACTTGCTCGACAATTTGCTTAAGGTCCTCAGTGATGTCAAGAAGGCCAGAGCCAAACACTGCAGTAACAAATCGCTCAGCGGCAGGAACAAATCGATCAAGCCGGAAAAGCTTGATAAGCAACAAGGATATAAGCTCTTGATCTCTCTTTTCAACATTATCATCCCAGACTTGAGGAACAAAGTTTTCTGCCAGTTCCTCGGATAAGAAACGATCCCAAGCTTCAGAAGACACACCCTCAAGTTTACCCTTGAAAGCAGGAAGTTTGATTGCATTGCCCATGACTTCATCCTTCATGTCACCATCTGTTGACAAATCAGTGCCCACCACAGTCTCATCTAGAATGACGTCAATAAGACTCTTATCCATCTTATATGGAGCTGCCTGGGCGAGAAGCATTGCCAAGGTAATCTTGTCTTTCTGGAGTAGTCCAAGGGATGTACGCTGGTAGGCGGTTACAAACAAGTCTTCAACGATAATATCACGACGTCTATCGTGGTTTGTCTCTGACTCTAGTCGCTTGTTACCATTTAGTACAGAGTGGAAAATATCGAGGAAGTACTGTAGAGAGAATTGATAGAAATGGTTGAGGTAGTGTAATTGTTCGAGGACGGCGAAAATGGCACTGCAAGAGCGTGCGATGATATTGTACTGGAGTGTAATCTCATCAACTTCAGCCATTACACCTTCAGTGTTACCCATCTTCACGGAGATTTCTGCAGCTTCCTTCTTCAAGGTCTCAAGAGTTTCAATGACGTTGTCATCATCAAGAATATTGCCACGTGACTCGTTCAAGGCTTGCAGCAAGCGCTTCTCGAGCTGCCTAAGATGAACCTTGAATTCGCCTTGTAACTTGATGAGATTAGAGCGTCTCTCGTCCACATCAGGCCGTTCGGATTTGAGGACGTCATTGAGTGACTGTGTTTGCAAACTACTCTGTGTGACTGTGAAATTGACAAATGTCGTGCGACTGCAAATATCCGGCGCGAATGTTGCAGACGGATCTCTGGTGGAAAGGTAAATCTTGAATGCGGGTGAGAAATCGATTTCTTGCTTTCCAAGCTGGATGAGAACACGCCCACCAGTCTTTTGGTATTCTTTGTTGAGAACGTGGTTAAGAATTGGGTCCAGGTATTCAGCATCTTGGATAAGTATAGGATTTCCAAAACGAAGGGAGCTTTCTAGTTGTTTAGTGAAAGAGTCATCCAAGAAACTAGTGACAGTAAGCTTTCTGTCCTTGCTCTGCTTTTGTAAGAACTCCGTAGCGCGACCAGAAGGATCAATAATCAATGGATATCTATTGAATCGTTTCAATATGATAGCGTTTTCGGTGCAAAGGTCATCCACTGGTAGAGTGTCTTGTTGCCATCCAAGTCGCTCATCGGCACTTGAGAGATATTCAGTGACTGGGTTATGTTGTTTGTAACTGACTCCAGACAAATGGAGTTGATGCAACCAGTCTTCCATCATGTTCTTTCGGTATTGCTGATCATAGAGACCACTGTATGCAAGAAAAGCAGCGGCAACAAGGACGTCACCCACAAGTGTGCTGATTTGTGTCTCAAATGACTTGCTTCCCTCTTCCCAACGTGTTCGTTCGGAAGAAAGACTGTCAAGCAATCGAACACTACGATCAACCTTAAATTGAACCTTTGACATCTCAGACTTGATAGCCTGTGTTTCACTGATCAGAGCTGCATATTCTGTCTTGTAAGTTGCAATACTTTGTTCCAATGTGTTGATGGTGTTCTCAATGGTTTGGGCCTCAGCTTTGGTTTGTAGAGCTTGTTCCTCGAGCAACCCGACCTCCTCTCTCAGTGGTCCTACACGATCAAGAATTTCAGAATAGTTGACTTGAGCCTGGACCCATTGAACAAGCGGTCCACAAGCTTTACTGGCACGGTTGACTTTTTCGTAAGTGAAGTCATCGTTTGAAAGAAACTCGTTGCGCATCTTTACACGCAGATTCTTTGTCATCTGCCTCTCGTTGTCATAATTGACAATACTGGCAATGAAGTCATCTTTTCTGATGATGCCCTGTACTGTCTTCCAACTTTCGATCTTATGGCCAAGGAGAGTACAGACTGAGTCTAGCGCAAGTTTGACACCCTGAGGTGGGTTACCCATGGAACGAACCTCAGTTAGATGCTGTCGCTTGATGTTGCTAACACTTTTTTGAGCTTCGATAACAGCAGGCTCAGCATTGGCTAAATCGTTGAGTACAACCTCACGACGTTCGGCGACTTCCTTTTCCTGTATTTCTAGAGCAGCCTGGATTTCGAGTGAAGTTGTTTTACGTTGCTCAGCCTCTCTTTGATCCGCTACCATGCGCTGCAGTTTCTCGTTGGCTTCTGCATCTTTACGTTCCAATTGACCTTTCTTGTCTGCCAAGCTGACTCTAAGATCGCGTACTTTATCAACAGTATCTCTGAGCTTTTCCAAACCGACATTAAGATGTCTTTGCTGCTCTTCGAGATCATCTCGTTTCTCCGTGTACAGTTTGACGTATTGAGCCACGAAATCTAAAAAGTGTCTGGGTGTAAGGAATGTTACCTTGCCTTGCTGCTTAACTAATTTGACATTGAATCGGTGTAGTGAGTAATGGATATACACCATTGAATTGATGATTGTCTCTCTATGGTTTGCTGGCAAGCTAAGGTCTCGATATGCGACTGGTATGCTGTCTGGTGCTGTGAAATTCGGTCGATCAAGATCAACAGATTGAGTCAGTTCTGTGCCTACTTGGAATAATGCTTGATCAGACCAATCTCCAAACCAATTCAGTACGCAACGATTGAAGAGAGCAGGGCTGGTTGCAGCTTTAGAAGACAAGCCATCTTCAGGAGGGTTCATGGTGAAGACAACGTGCAGATTCTTCACAATTTGTCCTGTAAACCATTTGTAGAGCTCTTCTTGGGAGTCTAGTAGAAGTCCTTGACGCTGGGCACCCTCTTTGCAGGCTGTCATCAACGATGCGAATTCATCGCCTTCGAAAAGACCTGGAACTTCAGCATTTGCCAGCAGAGTGTTCATTCTTTCCAAGAAACCGGAGTCGAGGACATTTGATTCGTCCATAATGAAACATATCTTCTCTCCCTTGCAGCCACAACGACGTAGTACATCACGTAGATCGTCATCGAAGTCTTCAGCGGAATATTTACCATGAACCTTGATTTGAAAGACTCTGAGACCATTCATCCAAGCAACAAATCGAGACAGCGTTGTCTTACCACTTCCACTGACTCCAATAAGAATCAAGTGACCTTGTGGTTGTCTGAAAACACGATCAATACGAAGTACGTGCTCCAGAACATCGTTGAACAAAATAAGTGGGACGTCAACCTCTTCTTCGCAGAAGGTCTTCAAACGCGCCTTGACAAACTCTCTCAATTGCTCCCTGTCGACTGGAACGTAATTCTTCGAGAGCCAGTTGGAGAATAGAATTGGTCCTCCAAGAGCTTTATCTTCATCGATAGTAGGGAAGAAGTCAGTTGCGATGCGATGCACAGCATCGTCGGTCCATTTACGTTCATCCTCAGCCACGAGACGGTCTTGAAATAATCTCAGAGCTTCATGAGCCCATATTCTGACTAGACCTTCAATACTAAGTGTCTCAAGTGGTCGTATGGCTTCGTAAATGCCGCGAACCCAACGGGTAAGCTCACGAGGACTGTACACATAATGAGGTTGAATCTTAGGAGTAAAGCGTTGTTGTGACTCGGTGTAAAATCGGACCATAGCTTTTGTCAATGCCTCAGAGTAGCCTCTCAAAGCGGGAATGATCTTGAGAACAGCGCTATTGAAAGTGCCGTAAATCTGTTGGAGGGACAGTTCTCCGGGATAATCAACCATGATAAGTGGTGCGTGTCGCAAGAAACGATCTCCCATCGGCGTTCTGCCAGCATCTGTTGGAGGATTACAAGCACCCACGAATTGAATGCGATCAAGTGTAACCCAAGTTTTATCTGACGTGCGCCAGAATCCGTTTTGCTCCACTAGCTGACGCAAGAAAGAGATGGCTCTCTGCGTACCATACTTATCTGGGGCGGGCAAATTAATTTCGTCGCAGAAAAGCACAAGCCAGCGCCCAATTTGAGTAGGTGAGAGCATGACTCCATTCACAGTTTTCTTGTACTCACAGTATTGCTCAAACGTCTTGATTAACAAATCGGGAGTAGTTGCACTAGAGAAATTGAGTCCAACGACCTCCATGTTAGGAAGTTTACGTAGAGCACTGAAGAGAGTCATGGTTTTTCCGGAACCAGGAGGACCGCACAAAAGTAGGGGCTTATGTTCTGCTAGCCAGGAGTATAAGACATCCTCGTGACGTACTGTATCGAGAGTAGGAATAACCACATCAGTTTGTGTGATGGAGTGCGTATTGACTTCGATGGTGGGTACTTGATTTTGCCATGAAGACCATTCAGCTTGGGGTAGAGTCACATCAAAATCGATGAGAGAAGAGTTGTCGCCCAAGATTGGATTTCCAAATGTAGCCAACCCGGCGAGGCAATCTCCAAAGCTCTTACGATCTCCCAATGGACAATCACCAGTCAACGACCAAACAAGCGCGAGAAGGAGCTTTTTGGCGATAAAAGATTCGATTTGATCTGGGTCAAGTGGGAAGTCGACATGTTGAGAATTGTACTCGATGATGTCTCGTACGGCCTTGTTCAAAAGCGAGAAAAGTGTGCTGAGAACGCGAGCTACAGTGTAATCCATGATGTGGTTGAATCCTTCGGCGCGTTCCAAAGCATTAATGATGAAATCTTCTGTGGTGAGGAATGTTTGGAGAAGGTCCGCCACATGAGATTGAATCTCCAGCGCTTGGGCGGCACTTTGTCCTGTTGCAACGGCATCTTCATCCAGATCCTCGAACGCCTCGGACCTCAATTTTTCTAGGTAATTGGAAACCATCATGTTGGGCGTAACAGTGTCCTCGCTAAACCAGACCATACCACATCGACTTACAGTTGCCAGAGTAGCGTACTTCAAGGTTTCGACTTCGAACATGATTCTGACGTTTCCGGGAAGGTTGAGACGTTCTCCATTAGGTAAGGTGAGCAGTTTGTTATCGTCTAAGACACTGTTCAAATTCTCAACCCATTCAGGATCTACATCACCATCAAAAACGATCCAATGTCTCTTTGACTCCTCACCGCGCAAATTATCTACAATCTTTCGGAGGATGCTTGTGAACAGACCATCAGTCCATTCACGAGTAGTTGAATCGAGGTTACCGTAGAGAGCTTCCTTCGACATGACCTTTGAGTCTATGATATGGCACACCCCTTCGACTCCTTCAACCTGCTGCAAAGCTTGTAAGAGGACCTTCCAAGCCACCGACTTTCCAGAACCAGAATTTCCGACCATCATCACACCATGATGGATGCCTTGAATTTGGTAGAGCTGAAGAATTTTAGTCATCCAGGTATCATTCACTACCAAATGCTTCTCTTTCGCAAGGCTCTTGATAGCATTCTTAAGGTCGTCTAAGCTAGCGGGAACGTATTCAACGCCGGGGAATGACTCTGCTTCGATGGCTCTCATGATTTCCACGTCGCTCTTGATTAGTTTAGGGGCAATTGTCTCCCGAAGACTCTGTACAATAATTTGTGGTTCGACCTCCTCTTCGGGCCCAAGGTTACCATCGGAATTGGTTAGACGAGCACGTTTGAGCCCACCAGAGCTGACAAGTACACTCTTCAAGGCACGCAACCCAAAGTCATAATGAGCTTGTTTGGAAAGTCGCGCGGCACAGCTATCGAAAAACGGTACAGTCTGCTTAGAAAGCTGTTTCGCTTGATTGAATCCTTGCGAGTATAACATGACTTCCGCGATAAGCTCTTTGTCAGGCTTGGACATAGCAACACTTCGGAACAATTTCTTCAAATTGTCTGGCAAGTTTGATCGACCAGCATAACCTGGATTCATCGTGATGAAAAGTCCGGTATTGGCGTTCACGTGAAGCTGTCTGCCGACTAGTTCGATTTGTGCCTTCTCATCCTCCGCGCCTTGTTTTAGACCGAGCTGGATGTTTTGAACTTGTTGGGAAACCGCAGATAATATACGCTCCTCAAGTCGATTGAACTCGTCAAAACAACCCCAAGCACCAACTTGACAGAGACCTAGGAAAATGCGCCCCATAGCCTGAAAATCAAAAGTGTCATCACAACAGAACACCAGTGTGAAACGACCTAGTTGAACACCCAGAGCTTTCACAGACTCGGTCTTTCCTGTACCTGCTGGACCGTAAGGCGAACCACCTAGGCGTTGACAGAGAGCTTGCGTGAGTGTCAGGAAACATCGATCCGTCAATGGTGTTCTGACAAGACGTTCTGCTACACCCAAATACTCGAATCCATAATTGAGCTTTGCGTTTGCCATTTTTATGTAAAGGCGTTGTAGGAAATCACCTTCTGGCTTGTAGACATACCTCATTTGCAGAAGCCACATATAATGATTAGGGGTACTTGCATTGAGGTTACGTAGCTTTTCAATGACATCTCGTTGGTGGACACACTCAGTGATGAGGTGCTCGCATCGCTTTCTCTGAATTGGGTCGAGGTCGCCTAGAACGGTGGATGCAAGAAGGCGAAGTACTTTGACCTCCTGGTCGAATAACTTTTGCAAATCGGCGCCTTCGTTTTCAAGCGCTTTTTCTACACAAGAGGTCCAAACAGCTTGCGTACCCAATACAACGATTTGACTAGGGAATGCAGAAATGTATTGATTTAGAGCTTCTTGGTCTACATCGTCCGCAGTGAAAATCGCCTCGTACTGTTCGACAGCTTCTGCAAGCAATTCGGCGAGAGTTGACTTCATGCTATTTTCAAGCAAGGTCAACCAGTCGTTAATCTTTGGAGTTTTGATCAAGGATATCTCCTTCTTGAGTCTGACCTCCTCGCCCTCTTTTGAGGTGAATCCTGAAATTACTTGCTCTTCATCCATAATTAGACCAGATAAGCCCGCAAACATCTTCTTGAAGTGCTTAGCAATCCGTAATGTATCGTTGCTGTTACCGATGATTTCAAGCAGATCTTCATCACCAACGAAGTAAAATCTTGGAAATGAAACACGCTCTCTTTCAAGGTACTCGCCAAGTGCCTTTTGGATCTTGTTCAAAAGCTCTGCAAGACGTTCCAATGATTTTTGAACACCAGATATGTTGAGTACATCCAATACAAACGGTTGCTTGTAGACCTTTTTCATTACTGCGAAGAATTCAGAGTTGATGTTCTGGAATCTTGAAGACTCAATTGGTAGGAGATGTTTGATATCTGCATTTCCGGTGAAAACTCCTTCGAGGTACACCCATTGGCGCTGGACATCAATCCATACATCGAAAAGTACGTGTACGCGGTTGAGTTTATCTTCCCATGACGCAGCTTCTTCCTCGAATTCCTTGTAATAAGGAGAATGCTTCATTGCTTGTAAGGAGTTCAGATTTTCACTGCATTTTGCAAACAAGTCGTCCCACCCACGAATAAGGCGGCACTTGTTCTGATAATTCACAAGATCTAGTGAGTAATTGGACCAATCTTCGCGAACCTGTTTCAAGAATTCTTCCAAAGCCATTTCACCTTGGGCCTGTGCAATGATATCTCTTATTATCTTCTCGGTGGAAACAAGATTCAGGTCCCAAACTTCTCCTAGAGTCATTGATATTGGCGAATAGCGTTTCCCGGGTTTCAAATTCTTGAAGATTTTGTTCCAGTGGCGGTCTCTGACAGCCTCGGATTTCAAGTCTGTAACTACGGGATTGACTTTTAAAAATTGCCTAAGAACATTTTGAATATGCTCAAATGCAGCATATTGTCTCATCCGACTTGGCATTTCCTTGGTCATCTTAATGAGGCCATCAATCGCGGATCTTAATTTTCGGGGCTGCACGCTTGTCCACAACATATCGCGGAGGTCATTAAGGCTTTTCCATATGGTCGACAAAGCAGCCCATACAGACTTGAAGTCCTGGACTTCTTCGAGAATAGCCACAAGTGCTGTGTCTGCAGTTGCCGGAAGATCTAAAGCTTCTTTAGCGCGAGCAACCATTTCTGACTCCTCATGCAATTTCGTGATGCGACTTTCGAATGAAGTGAGAGTTGCAGATGCTATATCTGGAGCAATAGTGCCAGATACAGGCTTTTCTTCGTTCCATTGGGCAGTGATCTCTGCGATTTTCTCTCCAACTACCCTGTCCTCTGCAGTAATCTTGGCACGTAACGCGTCAGTCTGATCTTCCACGATTTTAGCTTTTCGAGCTAGGATTTCATTGAGAGCAGTCCATTCAGAATCGATTTGCTCCACTCCTAGCCAGTCCATGGGAAATTGATATCTTTGTCTAACAAGTGTGGTTTGTCCTTGCCTGAAAGTTTCTACCTCTGGACCCCAAGCCTTTACCTTCCGCTTGCAGGTCTGAACAATGGTAATAAATTGCACAGCTTGTGCCGTGGACGATGCTTCTAAGGATTGAACCTCGAGATCACGACGTGCTTTTTCGATCTCAGCATAGACTTCACGAACACGGTTTCCGAGGCGACTTCCAAATTTGATCAAGATCTCATGTTGCCACTGGTCATACTTGGCATTGACCTTTGTCTGGACCTGATCGTAGTCAATGGTAAGATGTCCGAACGATCGACTTACTTCAGTTGTGTCGAAAGTGGAGCGAGTTTTCCTGATCTCCTGCAAAAGCTGGAGCCACTTTGAGAGTTGTTCACCCAAGGTTTCATACACAAGATCAGATTGAAGATCCCATAGTGATTGAAACTGTAGCCATTTGTCAACGTAGAGGCTAACCTCGTGCAGCTTTGCTTCAACGCATTTGTAGGCTCTCAGAAGTTCATCTGCACAATCTCGCGGGAGTTCCGTGAACAGCTCTTCCGGATCATTAGTCGTTCCCAAGGTCATGACATACCGAGAAGCCTTGACTTTACGAAGATGGCATACGACCCCGAGCCAATCATGTAGTTGGGAAAACCAGCTAGCTCTGGCATATTCCAAAGGCGGATCTAAGTAGATGACTTGGTTGCGCATGGAGATCTCGTGTACCAGTCGCTTCATGGATGGTTTGTTCTCAGGTGGAGACTCGGTCAAGATACTGAAGTGCTTTCTGCGGCTGTCGTCATTAACACCGTCAGATCGCTCATTTTCAAAAGTATCAATCCACACTTCGATTGCTTGTTGTAGACGCTTCAGAAGAGTGACCTTGATACGGTCATTCATTTCTCTGACCCAATAAGGCAAGTTGACATAGTTCTCGAGGTTCAATTGATCAACAGCCATCTGAATCGTTTCTAAACGGGCCTGGAATGCAGTTATTTCGTAAGGACACTTATCTAACTCTGCCAAGGTTTTCTGGATCGTCGCATTGATAGAAGCAAGCGTTTCCGTCTTACTTTGTAATAACGCAACAGAGGCAGCGATTTCGCGAACAAATTGCACGTGTTTGCTCTCAGTTCGATTGGCGATGGCAGGTTCAATTGAACCCTTTGTATACGTGGGTTTGATGTGGATATCATATGAGTGCACAAACGACTCCCATTTTAGAGAAACTCCGCGAGCAATTAAGGCCTGAACTTCGTGCTGGTAACCACTTAGAAGTATTTGAACATCGGCCATTTCGGCTATTTGACGACTGGTTTGTGTGAATGTCCGAACGGTCTCCATGAGACTCACAGCGTAGGGATATACACGCTTTGCATCCTTCGATATGTTGTTGATCTGATGAGGAACAGGGTAATTCAACCATTGCAGGTTTCGCGTCTCTTTGAAGAGCGCAATGACCTGGTGGTCGAAGTTGACAGCCAATTCCAAGGCATTGTTTGCTGCGCGGATCTTATTTATATTGAAAAGCCTGCCAGAGATAGTAACATGCTTTCGCTGCACATCATGAAGCCATGCCTCAAAGATTGGTCGAGTATCCAACTTATTTCGAAAAAGATTACTATCACTAAGAAGCTTCTGTCCCTCGGCGTGAAGCGCCCATTCAGTCCCCAGTACGTCTTCGACTTTTTTCATATATCCATTGAGTTGTTTCTCAATTTGGCGAGCCCAAATGATCGCTCCAGAAACAGGAGGTAGATCTCTAAGCTGTGCCATTGCATGAGCTTCGGAATGACCATATTGTTGCTTAAATCGCTCGTGCAGGGAGGATATATCATGTTTCACGTTGTCAATAAGTTGCGTTTGATATTCTGTAATAGCTCCGCGAATTTTCGGTCGGACAAACAGAGCATTGAACTTAGAAAATACTCGAAACATCTCACTTGCTGTCTTAGCAGTGGCTAATCGATCTCGCAATCGGGCAATAATTGAGTTCTCGACACGCGATGTTCGCTCATTATAAGTACTCTCTGCTTGAATCCACAACTGCGTTCCCTCGGAAGAAACATCGAGCATATCTATATTGCTCAACGCAGCCCAAGCTTGTTTGATTTCTTCCACGGCGTCCACGTCGCCCATCTCTTCAACTAAAACAACTCCATTGGCTCCACCCTCTGGAACGTCATCACCAATCTTGGGTGCTAAAACGTTGATTATTGTTCGCTGTAGTTGCTCGTGGTTATCTCTAAAGGTACTAACATATTTCAGACGTGCTTGCAGCTCTGCATGCTTTCCAACGATTTTTATGGGCATGAACTTCTCGTTTCTTCGACGCGTGACCTCTCGGGCAACATTGGTGAACTCCTTTAGGTTGTCATCCCAAATGGCCCAAATTGAATCGGCGACGGACATTAATTTCTGAAATCTCGATACTCCAAATGCATCAAGGAGCGACCGTGAAGTAGAAAATGAAGTCGATTGTCAAGATCTGCAGAAATTGCTTCTACTAGTGGCAAAGCACGTCGAACTGGGTATGGACAAATACGCAATTTTTTGTTCAAGTGCCCAAAAATAAGACCCAGTGCATCACCAACCTTCTGTAACGAAGTTGCTGAAAGCAATTCATCAAGAGGGAAATCTCGCATAAGTTGATTGTACTTCTGTACTTTATCGGTCGACTCCTTCAACCCAGTATCGGATGTGAAACTGAGAGTGGCCTGGAAACGTTTGGCGTGTCTTAATATCTCAAGAGTAAGCATTACTCCATCGCTGGCTAATTGTGCACCAATATTTTCGAGTGTGGACTCCATAGCGAGCCAGAACTGAATTTCCTGGGATGCAGTACCGCTTGTTGGATCCCGCGATAACTTTGTAATAGCTTGTATCGACTTAATCCATCCGTTTACTAGAGACTGCAGGTTGTTGAGGAAGGCACTGTCATGCAACAATCTTTCCGGTATGAACTCCACTGTTGGCTTGCGTTTACGAGCGGCTGCTTCATCAAGTGCATGCTGCACCATTGGGTGTAGCATAAGTGTCAAATCGGGAATATCAACATTATCCTGAAGATGTCGCAAAGCTAACTCCAACTCTGCTAGCTTCTTTTTGGTGGCAGACACACCGGTCTTGGCCTCAAGCTCTGATATACTTCGATTCCCATTCGCTGCCTGCTGTTGCTTTGTATATGCATCAAAGTATGGCACCAGGGCCAGATGCACAAATGAATGCAAAATAGAAGCTCCCGCCTGTCCGTTTGTTGATTCATTCGATAATGATGCACCAGGTAAATTAATAAGTTGTATTTGAGAAGATATGGGTATCGAAGGATCTATAGGTTGCGGACCTTTCATAAAAGCGACAGATCCGGTTGTTGATGATGAGGAGGATATATCAGAAGCTAAACTATAGTTGTACAAAATAACACCTGCACTCTTGTTAACAAACATTCTTCGAAACCAAATGGATGTGGCTCCTACTTGGTTCATCTGGGGAATCCCCTTCCTCTCGTGGAACCGCATCTTTCTGTACGTATATCACAGCTTGGTGAGATTCAGATGCAAATCTGGTGCATCGCTGAGCTGTATCAGAGTATTGGGCCTCAGAAAGAAGACTACCAGTTTGCTCAAGGTCATCTCGTGTTGCTCCTAGAGTGATCTCAAGAACGGATGCAAGAAAGTCGACCAGTACCTTGGGTTCTATCGAAGGAAATGTGCTCGTTCCGACCCCGTTTGCTCCATTTCCGGAGGGACTTGCGGTGGAGTCCAGCAAGCTCATGGCTGTTAAGTTGGTAATTTATAGGGTTGTATTCATCACCAGTGTATTTTGATTTTTCTATGTTATAAAGTGATCTTAGTAAAGTAGAGAATTTACAATATATTGTAAGGGGGTGAATTTGTTGATTTCTGTGGTGGGAAAGTGGGTGTTAGAGTGGTAGAACCCAAATATCGATGCTGTATTTAATTACATTGATTTTGTTGTCGCGACCGCGATTTCAACCCCTGTCGCTCTAATCATCCCGCTCGCTAGTGCCTAGTGTCATGCAATAATTCTTGACTTCTCTTTCTCTCTCTCCTATTAATATATCTCCCGCTTCTAGAATAAAACAGACATTTTGCTGCCGATTACCTAGGTAGAGGTAGTCAGTCTTTGAAACCTTCTTATCAAAGCGGAGAAAACACCTCGTGGACTTCATTAAAATTCCGAATGGGAATGACATGGTATTATTTCTACATAGGAGACAGAAAGTACAATCAATCTTCACATCACATTTCCATAGTAAGATCGAGCACGCATTGAGAGTCAAATGCCATACAATGGAGGTGCAATCTGATAAGCATTCACATACAAATAACGGAAACAAGTTTAGATACCTATCCCACATCTCAATTGCATATTCATATCTTTCCCAGCAGTCAAATATATCCAGAAATTCGCATTCATTTGTACATTCACATTCATTTTTGAGACACTCTAGGTCATTCGAAGCAACACAAAATTCCAATACAGATCACATAACGTTTACGCTATCGCAATAACATGCTCAGCATCTTAGACTTGTCAAACTACAGAGCACTGAATGCGGGGAATGTAAAACAAGCGATCTGCACGGTGCTAGGTATAACAATGAATCCGGCTGACCTGGTTTGCATTACATACCTACGTACGGATCTTTGCAGTCTTGCAAATATCAACCAGGCCCATATTGACAGTATGGATACTATGTACAAATTAGATGTGATGCGTAATGCGAGAACCTACAGACGCCAAGCATGCGAATTGATGTACACTGGACTTTTATACAGTCCACCCTGGGGTTTCGAAATTTATCCAGTCGCCGTTCGTGAAGTCGGTAAAAAGTTTGGGTGATAAGGAAGAGTGGAGGGGTTCAGAATACATGTATATTGAGACAACAACCAAACTAATCAATCAAGGCCAACGCCAGGAATTCCACTATCCGAACCGCTGCCGCCAAAAGGTCCAACATCTAGAGCTGCATCTGCTGCAATCATTTCTGCAAGAATATCGAGGACCGGCTAGTAATTTGTCAGTGTCTTTGTTGATAAAATTGGGATGTGAGAAGCTACCTTTGGCACTGTCTTGTCGTAGATGGATATTAAATCATTTGGTTGAGGATAAACTTTGAGAGCCTTGTAAAAACAAAGTGCTGCTTCTATGGGGTCACCACCTATGATCGAGTATTAGATTCGAGACCTGGCTTTCTTTGTGAAGATCACTCACCCTCTGAGCTTAAGCCTTCTCCTCTAGCAACTTCAGACATGAAATATGCCTCTTTCTCCTCGACGTCTACGGGGAACCCATCTTCCTTGGCCTCAACAACCACTGCCTTGATAACTTCTTTTTGTCTCTCGTTGTGAGCTTCCGCTTCCTCCTTCGCGGCTTTTGCTTGTCGTTTCGATTCTTTCTTCAATTGTTTGCGAAAGTTTGGATCGGTGCGTCTCTTATGGTCGAAATAAATTGCGTAGGCTATGATGAGAATTGTGAGCAAATTTAGAAATTCTATTCGAGAATAGAAATCACCTACCGACCAATCCTGTAGCAACTGTGCCAACACTGGCAGCGACGATTGTGGAAGTCTGAACCATTTTGTAGAAATTTATGTGATATTAAAGAAAGATTCGGGAAGAAAATGAAGTAGCTTATTAGCTGTGGTCGTCTACGGTAGATGATGGGGTCGGTCTCTAGTCTCCAAAGCTCAGAAATGTTTCTCACAGCCAAAGCTATCGATAAATTTTGGGAATTTTAGGTCCAGCGGCTCTCGGACCAATCTAAATCCACCCACCAAATATTTTGAAAGGACAATCGTCGCGTCCTTGTCAGATGGATTGATTGGCACTCAATACGGGTAGCTAATTCGTCGTCATAACCCTCTTACCTAGGCATTGGCTTCACAATTCAATCGAATTCTTCAATATATTTAATGACATGATAATTGGAAACATCATTTAATTGACTTTCTTATTTTCAAGTCCAATTGACCAAATCAGGTACAGACAAACATAGGTGTGCGGGAACGCTTGCTCCTTTCGGTTACTCCTACTCTGGGATATATGTCTATGGACCAACCTGAACCTTAGAACACGTCCCTTTCGATATATAACTTCCTCGTACTCAGCAACTCCACCCTCCTTTTTCTCTGCTCCTGACGCTGTAACTACAACATTATGTCGGACGAAAGGAAAGGCGTGTCTCTAAGGACCAAGAGGAAGGGTCGTCCAGCAATAAGTGCTCCCAAACAGATATCTGGTCCAATTCCACAAACTGGAGGAGATGCTTCACGAAGTGCTGGGCAGCCATCCTTTAATGCCCCGCCCGCGCAACGTCCTCAGCCTGGCGGAAAGGTATGTCGAAGCTTATCTTGAGTGCTCTTGATAGAAAAAGCCTGTTTATTTTTGGTGTAGCTGCTAACAGAAGTCATAGACATCTGATCTAGTGAAACGGCGATACTCTACTCGATTTAATAATCTTCCCTCTGACTTCGACCCTTCCGCTCCTCCTCTCCCATCTGTTCCCAATTTACCAGCTCAGTATGCTCCAGCAAACAACCGTTCACGAGGTCCCTCGCCGGCGAGAGGACCTGGCTTGGTAGTAGACCAGAGAGCTCTGCGCGATCCCAATTTGAGGCCAGATGTGTACGTAGCGGGACTACTAAGTGATGCATCGGAACAAGATATTGAGGACTACCAAACAAATCTGAGGAAGATGAAGAATCGTACTTCTACGGATTTACAGCAAAATGTGTATCAAAATCGAACGCAGTTCATCAAGATTAGTAAGGAGGCAGAAAAGCTCAAAGGGGAGATGCGTGCACTTCGTAATCTGATGGCGGAACTCAAAACCAATACCACTGCGCTCAGAACCACCTCTTCACAAGGTCCATCATTCTCGTCAACTGATTTCGACGGCTTTCCACCAACTCTGAGCAAGAGGGACAAGCGAAGTTCTGTGGCAGACCGAACTGCAATGTGGAATTCGCAGCTTCAAGTAGGTCCACGTTGTCCGAGTTTTGACTGGTAGGGGTACTAATTTTACTAGGCTTTATGGAAGACCATTGAGGGCTCCCAAAAATTTCTACCTGCGGCTCCTGGTCGTCACGTGGTACAAAATGCCGGGCTTTGGATAGAGCTTGATAACGCTACTTGGAAATCTCGAAGAGCCATGCAGATTGTGCTGTTGAATGATCATCTTCTAGTTGCATCAAGGAAAAAGCGAAAAGTCGAGGGCGCTGATCAACGACAGGCGCCATCGAAATTAGTGGCAGACAGATGCTGGCCACTGTTAGATATTGAAATTGTTGATCTTGCAGGGACGAGTGAAGGCACTGGTGTGCGTAATAAGCTGGCCGATGCGATCATGATTAGAGGTGTAGGTCAGGAATCTTTTACCTATCGAACAGAAAAACCAGGCGACACGGAAAAGTCCTCCCTTATGATGAACTTTCGAAAGGCAGTGGAAGAGCTTCACAAAGGCCTCCGATCGGAAATGGAAACGAGCAACAGGGCTAAAGAAACAATCAACTACTTTGCTTCTCGTGACCCAGGATTGTTAAAAAAGACAGATTTGCTTGAGACTCTTTCGGACATCAAAGATATGCTTATCGAAGTTGATGGCAAGCAGCAAAATCTGCGGTGGGTGGAGAGTCAGGTTGATGAGTTGGATATCGAAATCGCACTACAGCATTTTGACATGGCAGTCCAACGAGTTGCAAAACTCAATTCCTTAGCCAAGGGTCTTAAAAGCAATATCGTCGCCCAGGACTTCATTAGCTTTAAAGCGGATGAGAGAGCCACCAGACTTGCAGAACTAATCACTCGTGAACTTGTTGATACACATAATGAGCCGAAAAAAGTTAGACGCAATATCAGCTGGCTAACTAGCCTTGGCTTCGAGGATCGGGCAAGAGAAGCATATCTTGAAGCTCGGGGGGATATCATTCATAAGAGATCAAGGTATGATTCAAAAATGTCTCTTCAATCGACTTCACTAATCTGTTTAAAAGACAATGTATATTCGAAGGTAATCTTCACCAATATATCTGGGAAGTATCATTCGTGTACTTCACAATAATACGGAATACCGTGTCAACCTTTCAAGCATGCTTCCCACAGCCTCTCATGAGCGCATGTGTCAAATGGGCCAAAGAGCAGGTCGATGCGTTCAATGTTATTCTTGCACGACAGCTTAGCAGCACCGAGAAGAATGGTCAAGTATGGTCGGAATGTATGGATCAGGCAAGAGAGCATGCAAAGATGCTCTCCGAAGTTGCTCTAGACTTTAGCAGCCTCATTGGTTCAACCCCGATAGATGTTCTTAATGGACCCAAAGGCGTAGGGTTGGGCTTGGCGTAATGCTGTATTGAATGGGCAAATTGGTATACACATCAAAACTAAATTTAAAACTCGACCAAAGATATCTTCACAGAATGTTCAAGAAATACTATCTACGTAGGTGTGTCTATCTACACTCCTACAGCAATACAATTTTTGGATTTACAAATTTAATTAGACATTCACATCCCTTTCGTTGTTACTGATACTTGATCTTGCTTCCGTAATTCATTGATAAACAAAGTTAAGAAAACATAAGAAAATAAAACAAAGCTAACAAATATGACATCTGCATTGACGCATGCTCTCTTGCCTCTTCAAATATAAATGCCAAATCCTTTCCATTGCGATCTTGAAATCTGCTTATTAAGCGAGGAGCTGTTCCTTTCAAATAATCTGCGCACCGCTTCTACAACCTGAAAGCCCCTCCACAAACATTTCTGCACGACGAACGCCCTGAAATCTTATGATAAAATTGCTTTTGCGATTCTCAACATAAGATACTAGTTGAAGTTGCGCGGACCGCTTCCCGAAAAGAACAACAAACTTAATAGCCCTTTTGACGACCAACCCGCGCGCTTGTCGTCACCAAGCTCGAGCAATTCAATATCGACAACCAAATTAACAACAAACCATCAAATTTATCATACGATAGAATGAACACAATGGATACAGATATGGCAGATGTAGGCAGGACGGTTGAGCCCACGGGATTATCTCCAGTAGCAGAACCTGCTTCAATACCAACTCTTGATGGGTGGATTGAGAACTTGATGGCGTGCAAGCAACTGGCCGAGGTCGACGTTCAGAGGCTTTGCGATAAGGTATTATTGTTTGCGAATCTTGTCATATTCTCAGGCTGCATAGTATGAGCCAGCTAATCAAGGACGCGTTACCAGGCACGAGAAGTATTGCAAGACGAGTCGAATGTACAGCCGGTGGTATGCTTGCCCTTTTCGTGTTGGAATTCAAAGAGCTGATCAACGATCTAGAAATGCCCTGTTACTGTCTGCGGAGATATTCATGGGCAATTCCATGATCTGATGGAGCTCTTCAGAATTGGTGGACCAAACCCAGATACCAATTATCTATTCATGGGTATGCCTCCTATCCCTTACTGTCATTTCTTGGATTTACTGACACGTTATTATAGGTGATTATGTTGATCGAGGTTATTACTCAGTCGAAACTGTCACTCTTTTAGTCGCTCTAAAAATAAGATACCCCCAAAGAATCACCATCCTCCGTGGTAACCACGAATCCCGCCAGATCACTCAAGTTTATGGATTTTACGACGAGTGCCTCCGAAAATATGGAAATGCAAATGTTTGGAAGTACTTTACCGATCTCTTCGACTACCTTCCCCTCACCGCCCTCATCGACAACCAAATCTTTTGTCTCCACGGAGGTCTTTCCCCCAGCATTGACACGTTGGACAACATCAGAGCTCTCGATCGTATACAAGAAGTGCCACATGAAGGTCCTATGTGCGACTTGCTATGGTCGGATCCAGATGACAGATGCGGATGGGGAATATCCCCTAGAGGAGCAGGTTACACTTTCGGACAAGACATTTCGGAGGCGTTCAACCATAATAACGGATTGACCTTAGTCGCAAGGGCTCATCAATTGGTCATGGAGGGATATAATTGGTCTCAAGATAGAAACGTAGTTACGATCTTCTCAGGTATGGTGCCTTTATCTCCTTCAGCGGTGTCTGATGCTAACCATAAATTAGCCCCCAATTACTGCTACAGATGTGGTAACCAAGCAGCAATTATGGAGATTGATGAGCATCTTAAATATACTTTGTAAGTAGCAAATCTATCCTCCTCGATCTCGTAGTCTCTAACATAATGTAGCCTACAATTTGATCCATGCCCAAGAGCTGGAGAGCCAATGGTATCACGTCGTAAGTACCCTAAAAATTCAAATCTCAGTCGTATCTTTTTACTAATCATGGCGATAGGTACTCCCGATTACTTCCTCTAGATATACAAATGGAGCGACTTAAGACGAAACACTTTGATATGCGATATTGCGTTACAATGATTGGGACAGAAGCAACGAACATTCTGTTTTCTGTATGTGAGGTTCTATGGCATCCTTTGGGAATAGCATTCTAATTGGTATTGCCTACGAATAATACATCGGTGGCCTATCCGGAACTCATCCAACTTTTGTAGACTTGCATTAGACTACTTATTATACCAAAATGCAAAAAAGCAGTTGAGGATATTTCCTTTGAAAGGGGGATACCAGCGCCGTGAATATACATTCCTATTATTGTAATTTGATATGATACACTTGAATGTCTGTTTCTTACTTGTGATCCTGACTATGATGATGACGATATCATTATCTTCGACGGGCTCTGTTGTTTCCTTCCCATAAACGAATCAAGGAAGCTTCACCTTGCTTTGTCCAGATATATTGTACAATCAGTTACCGGTATTTCGTGGACTGTTTGAATTTACTTGGTCATAACTGCCTAGTAACAGACATTAGAAGTACAAATCACTTTACCTGATTAATAATAAGTATGTATGCTCAGAAAATTGACTGTCGTATCAATATACCTAGTCCTTTCTATTAGTATATCCTCGAAAAGTTATTAATTGTGGTTAGATTATCTATCCATGAATAACTCATGTCAGATACTGATACTTCAGCTGTACTTAATAAAACCCCACCATCCATTGCACTGACGCCATTTCCGTCGATTTTGCCGTACTTGCCGCCTTAAGCCTTAGCTTTCGGCTTATTTCTATTCCCAGGTTCATCATATCAATCCAAAACCCCATCCTCGAGCCATTCAAAGACATCTTGCCATTTGTTACATCAATCTTCAGTTTCTCGTTAAGTCGTCCAATCACCGACGACTGATCTAAAGTCAGTAAATTTCCTGATGAGTCCACACTCCAAAGTTCTTCTCTATTGATACATTCACCACTTTTTGTTGACCACTTTGCGATACGAGCCATCGAGCTTTATCAATTTCCATCATGTCTTTACCACCTCAAGATCCCACCAGAAATTCATATCAACAACCAAATACGCAACGTCACATATTCCCCGTTCAACAAAATCTTGGTCAACAGAACATTGCTTACCCAAGACCAACTCCAACTGGTATTCGCGGTCCACCGATTCAACAGCACAATTCTCCATACTCAACTCCATACGCCAATAAGCAACCAGTTCCGCCGAGACAAAATGGCAACAATGGAGTATCTGCAGAACAACAAATTGCTCAGGGTATTTTGAGTAATACTACGAACGGTCAAACTCCTCAACGACAGCCTCAGAGACAAAATGGCCCACCTCCCATGGGTGCAGCAATTCACATGGCGCCTCAGCATACCCCGCAAAATCAATCCATGACTGTCACTCATGCCGTTCACCCAACTCCCCCATCTGCCATGAATCAAACTCGAGATTTCGCAACGCAGCAACGGCAATCACAATCCCCCGCGATGCAAGGACAGAGTCTGGGTGTTCAACGACCCCCGTCCATGAACCCCTCCCCCGCCAACTCAAACCTCGGATCTACGAGACCGCAAGATTCACCGGTAAGCTCCACTCAGGATATGTCCATGATTGATCCTCAGCTTGCGCTCGATCAACAATTGGACCCTAGTGGTTCTCTTCTTTCTCCGGCAGACGAACATGATCAAACCGAAGCTCCGGAAGTGACTCCTGGAGAAATGTTATCTGCCCCACCAGGAGGTAGCTATCCGACTTTTGAGGCCCTTTTTGCAGCTGCGCAGGCACATGCCTTGACACATGGTTATGCGTTCGTCATTGGCCGATCTAAACGCGACAATAGAGGTCTGAAAAAGGTATTTTTGATTTGTGATCGCGGCGGAACCAATAAGGAGAAGGTGCCCGGTGAACAGCGACAACGTAAGACCAAATCGCGTAAATGTGGTTGCGAATTTGGAGTCTTTGGTCTCGAGAATAAAACTTCTTGGCTTTTGCGAGGTCGAATTGATGGAGAGCATTTAACACACAATCATCCTCCGAGCGAAAGTCCCACCGAGCACCCGGGAGCTAGAAAATTGGATCCTAAAGCAATTGCTGCTGTAAAGGCTCTTGAGGAAAACGGTATATCACGTCCTGCCCGCTCACATATATAAGTGGATTGCTAACACTATTCTCAGGTGTTTCTGTAAAAGAAACCCTTGAAATTCTCCATCGTGACAACCCTACTATTCGCTTTCTTCCTCGTGACATCTACAATGCCCGAGCTGCTATTAAACGCGACCCTTCTCGTGTCGAACCGACAGCCATGGAGTCTCTTCCCACGTTTTACAAAAAGCCTCCCATGTCATTTGAAGAGAAACTCCGCGCCGAGCTTCGAACTGAGGTAGCGAATGCCCAAGCAGAAGTAGAGAAAATCAAGGCCGATTGGAAGCAAGAAGTAGAAGACTTGAAGGAACAGTTGAGGCAGAAAGATTTAGTAATTCACAAGTTTGAGCAATTCATTGATATCTGTAACGAGCGGGTAATGATTAGAAGGGACGAGTTGTCGGATCCCCCCGCCGGCGCAGAGCCAGGCGCAAACACTATAGCAAATGCTATGGGCAATGCTATGGGCAATGCTATGGGAAACGCTATGGGTAGTACTATGGGTAGTACCATGGGCAGTAGCATGGGCAATACAATGGGCTAGATTGCTTCTGCCTTTATCTATTGATTAGATGAACGTACTGATTGCTGGACCGCAAATGAATTTTAATGGACATGGATCAAGGAACGGAATGGACTATGGGACTATGGACAAGGGAGTTGACTTGCTTTACTTTTCCTAAAGGCGGATATAATCGGTTTCGTGGTTCTGGGATAGGTACTATTATGGCTGTATGGTGTCTGGGGTCGGGAGGACGGAATTCTACCCATTTTGTGTCATGCTCTCTTACGATGGCTGGTATTCGATTTCGGTGTTCATGGCATGTTCATATATGAGATGAGACACAGATCTCCACTCAGGCGGCCGTCTTTAGCAGAGGATCATTGGCACAGAGATTAAATGTAGGGGATATGAGATACACATGGTATTCATCTTCCGTCAATGAAATTAATATAATATAATCTAGACGATTGGTTTTTTGGTGATTTGTGTGAGAGAATACTCGCGGATAGATGTTAAGCATTACTTAGCATTCATGTGCACATTTGAGACTTGAAGATCGCTTGCGTGTGATTGCGGCTCAAGTGGAAAGAAAGTGCAGGAGGGGTACTCGTATGGGGAGAAGAAAGAGAACGAGGATTAATAGTTCGAGTTCGATAGGAATAAAGCGAAGAAAATACTAAATGTATTGAAAATTGAAACTCGGGATTGGATGGAGCTTATATGAGTACCTACATATCATAAAGTTGCGAATGGCTTTCGATAGAGAATAAATAAGAGAAATGGATTTGTTTCAAGTTATTCGATACTTAAGCATTGCTCCCGGTGAGTGCCCAGTGAGCATTTAGTAATTAAAGATGGTATGCGAATCCCCATTCTTTTAGTGGTGGCGTGAGCAACGCTAATATAGCAGCGGCCGCATCATGCCCCACGATTTTGACTTTCCCTCCAAAATTTTGAAAGTCTAATGTACATTCGCGCAATATCAACATTATACAGAAATGGCTTACGGTAGCTGGATTTCAAGGCCGATTTGGTCTTATGAGATCGATGGTAAGTTATTCGCTTTCCAATATGCATTGAAAAAATATTGATACTTCTACAACGTAGATATAGTCGCATTATGGCATCTTTATCGCATTCCAATCATTCTTACGACGGCCACGATTCTCATACTCGTCAGGATAACCCTTCGTCCGCGAACAGTGAGGGAGAAACTATCTGCATCGCCTTTGCCCTCATCACCGCTTCTACCTGCGGTGAAAGAAAAGATATCACCACCTGTAATTGACGAAAAGAAAGCCAATGGCGTCAAAGCCCCACGAAGAATAGTCGGAGGCATCAAAAAACGCAAATCTTCCGAGGAAAACCTGCAGACTGGCCCCCAAAAGATTCAACCCCTCGTTTTCTTTTCATCATTGACTGGCACGACAGAAAAGACTGCCAATGCTTTTGTGGAGAGCATTAGAGGCGATCTCTCTGGACGTGCCAATGGGCAAAGAATTCAATTTCTCGAATCTCAACTACTCGATTTATCATATATTGACTATGATGACTACTTCATCAACCCACCAAAGGGCGAATCTGGAGTTAGCTACTTTTATCTAGTGCTCATCCCTAGTTATAATATCGATACTGTGTTGGACAATTTCCTGGAACATTTACAAGAAACACATAATGATTTTAGAATCGACACAGCGCCATTGTCGCCCTTGGTAGGGTACTCAGTGTTTGGGTTTGGGGATAGAGAGGGTTGGCCAACGGAGGAAGAAGGATTCTGTTCGCAGGCTAAGGACGTGGATAAATGGTTAGCGAAATTAACGGGAAGAAAGAGAGCGTTCCCTCTGGGAATGGGCGATGCAAAGACGGACGCAAAAGAAAGGTTGGCGGAATGGAAGGAGGGAGTGGTAGACGTGCTGGAGCATATTGCAAAGACTGGAAATCTAGGCGAAGGGGTTGTCGGAAGTGGAGATGCGGTAGAGAGTGATGTGGAGGATATTGAGGATGACGATGATGGGGAAGTTCTTTTTGATGAACAAAATGTTGCGTCGAGAAAAGCCAGGACGCAAAAGAAAGATGACAGTCTAAACGATTTAGAGGATATTGGTGGTGTTCTGAATAATACTGAAACCATAGACAATACTACTGGTGAAGAACCGGAAGAACTCGAGATAGACTTCACGACAGTCGGATTGAAGAAGGGGAAGGCCAAGACAGCTCCAGTTGTCGCTAAGGAGATGGTTCCAACAACTTCGCCTACATATGCAGCTTTAACAAAGCAAGGCTACTCAATTGTAGGGTCGCATTCAGGAGTCAAGATTTGTAGGTGGACAAAATCGGCTTTGCGAGGCAGGGGATCTTGTTACAAATATTCATTTTATGGCATTGCATCTCATCAATGTATGGAGACTACGCCATCATTGTCATGTTCTAACAAGTGTGTTTTCTGCTGGAGACACGGTACTAACCCCGTTGGAACCACCTGGAGATGGAAGGTAGACCAACCAGAAATGATCTTCAATGGTGTCAAAGCTGGACACTACAAGAAGATCAAGATGATGAGAGGTGTTCCTGGTGTCCGAGCCGAACGTTTCGCGGAAGCAATGCGCATTCGTCACTGTGCTTTAAGTTTAGTCGGCGAACCAATTTTCTACCCTCACATCAACGAGTTCACGAGTATGCTCCACAAAGAACACATCTCCACCTTCCTTGTTTGCAATGCACAACATCCAGATCAACTCGCCACCCTTCAGCCCGTCACTCAACTCTACGTTAGTATCGACGCTTCAAACAAGGAATCTCTCCGTAAAATCGACAGACCCCTCCATCGAGATTTCTGGGAACGCTTCCAGCGCTGTCTCGAAATTCTCCGCGAGCGTCGCTTTGAACAGCGTACCGTATTCCGTCTTACGCTCGTCAAAGGTTTCAATATCGAAGATGAAGCGGAAGGTTATGCCGATCTTGTCGAAAAGGGATTGCCTTGTTTCGTGGAGGTCAAAGGAGTGACATATTGTGGAACATCATCTTCCGCTGGTGCAGGACTCACGATGCAAAACGTACCATTCTATGAAGAGGTTTGCGCCTTTGTCGAAGCTCTTACCGCATCCCTTAAGAGAAGAGGATTAGGTTATGGTATTGCAGCAGAACATGCTCACAGTTGTTGTATCTTGATTGCATCTGATAGATTTAACATTGCGGGTAAATGGCACACGAGGATCGACTACAAGAAGTTTTTCGAGTGCTTAGAGAGTGGAGAGAAGTTTGGCCCAGAGGATTATGTGGGTGCTGAGACCCCAGAATGGGCAACATGGGGACAGGGTGGATTTGATCCAAGGGATGAGAGAGTATATAGGAAAGGGAAGAATAAGGTCCCTTTGCCGGAAATTCAAGGCATGATTATGGGAGAGGTTCAAGATGGGGGTGAGGATAAGGTTGCTGAAAACAGCACCAAGGATGATCTTGCTTTCTAGGTGATGATAAGCAATAAATATTGATATCAAGAACAATATAACCCCAACCGAATGTACTATTATTTTCCTACACCAGTCAAGTGCCACCTCTCTTTTTCAAGATAACCATATGTGCTTTCTCACATCCCTTTCGATAATCATTCAACTCCACACTAACAACCTCCAAAATTTCTTCTGCCTCAAATTTTTCAATCTCAGCTTTATAGCCCCCGGACTCCCAAACCTCCTCTAAAACGGTAGCAATAATAAGACCACTTGGAACAAGTATCCGAATAAATTCCCTCAGCGCAGGATCAGGACCAACATGTCCATACGTAAACGTCCCAGCACAAGTCACCAAATCATACGATCCATCCGGCACCTCAATCGTCTGCAACAAGTCTCCCACGAACAGATTTTTATAAAAGCCCGTCAGACGCGCTTGCGCGAGCATAGCAGGCGAAAAATCAAGGCCATCAATGTTCGTAGCGCCGCTCTCTGCAAGCGCAACCCCCACGAGCCCGGTGCCACATCCGGCATCGAGAATGCGGAGGGTGGAATAGTGGGGAAGTTGCCGGACGATTTGCGCGATAAGGCTGGGGGAAACGTAGTTTTGAAGTGCGACGATGTGGGTGTTGTAGGTGGAGGCCCATTGGGTGTAGAAGGCTTGGAGGTCGGAGGGGGGGAGGTTACTCCGGAGTTGGGCGATGAGTTGGTTAGCGGGGAGCATAGTTGGGGTGGTTGGGTTGGAGGCGTGGAGATGTGTTTGGAGGGAGGATGGAAGGGAGAGGTGATGTGGGAGTTGGAGATGGATTGTGTTGGATGTGAGTTGGGGGTTGTGTTGGGATATTGGGCAAGTTGCCTGGTGGAGGCTTGACCCCGCATATTAGGTGGGTAGCACCAGGTAGGTAGCACCAGGTAGGACAATTAATGTTATACTGCCAACTAATCATGAAACTTCAGCAGCTCAGCTGAATAATGAAGAAATTGGGTTATACTTGTGAGTATGGTAGTTGAGAATGAGATTGTCTGAGAGGTTAGATGCATGGAAAAAATCGTAATCATAAAACACTACTTTGTTTATAAGTTGAGCAGTCCCAGATGTTAGATTACAATATTCAACTTATCAACTATAATATCAAATTTCACTTCATACATCAGTGGAGAAGATCAATCCGAAGTATGCAGACAAGTTTCCGTGTTGATTCTTAGTTCTGAGTTGGATTGGACTGATAAATAAGAGAGTCATCAAAGTCAGCCTGAGGAAATTTTGTTAAGCAAGTCGCTTCCCAAGAGATTTATATAGAGGGGTCATCACAAGATACATTTCTTTTCTCCTGACCAGTTATGCATATGAAAGTTGGAGAGGGCCTGGAACACAGGAATTGGAAATTGCATTTTTAAGCTACTCACTTCCCTCTGCCTTATGCACTCTCCCATTAATAACAACATTCAACCTTTCCCCATCCTGCAAAATCGTAATATCCTCCAAAGGATTCCCATCAACCAAAATACAATCGGCATAGAAACCCTCCTGAATCTTTCCCAACTCATGTTCTCTCATGAAAAGTTTAGCCACTCCTGCAGTAGCAGCGACGATAGCCTCCATAGGAGTAAACCCGAGAAGATTCACGAAATGGGCGAGATCTCGCGCGTAGGTTCCATGAGGTGTCCATGCAAATCCATAGTCACCCCCTGGAAGAACTACGATGCCTCGTTTGTGCATTTCTTGGAGTCCGTGGATGGCAGCGTCGAGTTCCTTTTGGTAGCCTACTTGCGAGGCTTTCTCGTGTGAGTATCCGAATTCGCTGGCGTCGTTTACTATTCTAATCTTCAGCCGGAATCCATACAACGAGAGTCAATAGAGAACTCACAAGTTGCAATCAACCAATTTATTCCAGGCGCAACAATATGTTTATCTTTCTTTGCTTCGAGCATGTCCATGCCCTCTTCGTCAATATAGGATGCGTGAAATAATACGTCAACGCCATGTTTCACGCACATTTTTACAGAATCTTGAGCTCGTGCGTGCGCACAGAGTCGTCGTCCGAGACTATGTGCTTCCTCGACGCACGCTGATGTTTCTTCGTCGGAGAAGTAACAATCTTGAGCTGATCTCTTTTCCGTTATCTTGTATCCCCATTAGTTTGAGAGTCAATAGGATGCAGAGGCGAACTAACCTCTTCACCACTCATACTCAACTTGATCTGATCAACACCAAGATGAACGTGGTTTTTAATAACTTCCCTCATTTCATCAGGTCCATCGGCGTACGCCGTGATCCCCGGAACTAAATCTCCATCTCTCCTCGCTATCTCCATACCATTAGCTAGGTATCGAGGTCCGGGGATTTCACCCGCGTTGATAGCATCGCGGATGACCGCATCTAGATCATTTTTTGCGGATGCGGCTCCAAAACACCTTGAAATTCCTTAGTCAATGGATTTTCATTCTTTCCTTGGAAAACTCTGTTGTGAACGTAAATGAAGACACACATACATAGTATAACCCGAGTCCAAATAACACTTCGCACTCTTGGCCGTAAGATGCATATGTTCTTCCCATGCCATTTCCTCAAGCGCATTCAAATCTCCTCCATTCCATGTGAGATGTGTATGAGCATCCCCTAGTCCGCTCATCAATGTGCGACCTCTCCCTTCGAATATCTGCACATCTGGGTCCTCGAGTAATTGTTCTTGGTCAAGATTGGAGAGAATACCTACGAAGCGAATTCGTTCTCCGCATATCAATACATCACCGGGAAAGGGATCGCGACCGGTAGAGTCGAGAATGGTGACGTTGATGAAGAGAAGTTTGGAGGTGGGAGAGGTGCCGAGGATGGAGTATGGGGTGGGGAGGAGGGAGGAGTGGAAGTTCAAAGAGGCAATGGGGATTACATTGCGAGGAGCAATGTAGGAAAGCGGAGAGGTGATGGTTGGGGTTTCCATGATGGATGAATGAGCAACTTATGACAGATTGTGGGCTTTCTGAGTGGGATAGAAATCACCGCTGATGCTGGTGATAATATGTCGAGAACTATCAAGCCTATCCTATTCAGACATACACATCACACATCTTCGAATAATTCCTCGTACTTCCTGAATATATTCAGATACAGAGTATGTGAGATTTGTCAGGCAGGGTTCTCCGCATCTCGACTTGAAGTTGCACATGTGTGGCGGAAGATCGCCAGAACACACGTAGTTGCTCTAATACTCTTCACATGTCCCAATATGAGCGAAAGTGTCGCGCATCGTTTGGTCAGAAATCGTCTGGTCAACAAGCTGATCGATACAACGTAAAAAGACCGAATAAGGGTAGAAAACTCTGTCGCTCTCATTATTTCCTTGCATTTGGGCGGATAGATTAACCAAAACACTTGATGATGTTGATTACAGCCCTTAACGGGAAGAGAAGAATCTTTTACAAGAGCGAAAAACACACAAAACAACTGAGTTCGTGATATAATATCCTCTGGTAGATGAGATTGAACTGGTTGCAGAACATTGAGCATGTCTCTTGATTGCCGGGAAGAGTTGTGTGACAAGGGGTGGGATTTTGAGGGAAGTTGGCATCTTCTACTTCTTATATGCGACAAAAACTACTTGTCAATGGCGATGATTGCCAAAATACTGATACTCAACAGGCAACGAAATAGAAGCCTGGTGACAAGACTCAGTTGTTAAGAAAGTCTTACGAATCAATGCGTATCTCGCAATGACTCTTTCCTTACCCCACTCTAGGAACATATCTATAAATCTATTCCCATCGACATCTCCTTTCACAAATTAACACAAATTAACACAAAATCTCAAAATTCAATATGAAATTATCAGATTCTTCAAAGCTCTTCACAGAAGATTGGATAATAACTATCCCATCTCATCCCCACCTCCGCTTCATTCGTCTAATCCCCAGCCGCTACGACCATCTAGTCCGTATTTTCAGCAACCCCTTAAACGATCCCAACAACCGCACTCCAGACGATAACAGCTGGAAAGAATCCGATTCTGTTGGTTTGATTAAAACATACACTGAACGCTTTTCTACTTCCAAATTCTCACATAATGCCCTAGCACTCTCAGTAGAGGAAAATGGTAAAATTGTAGGCATAGGACTCATGCATGAATTTGAACATCAGTCCCGCTTCGCGAATATCGGGACGATTCTTGAAGAATCGGGCAGGGGTCATGGGATTGGCAAGATTTTGATGGAGCTACTTTTGAGGTTGAGCTGTGAGTTGAATGTGGATGTTGTGGAAGCGGGTACAATGAAGAAGAATGCGGCGATGAGAGGGTTGATGAGGAGTTTGGGGACTGAGGAGGTAGAGGAGGACAAAATCATGCCGGGGAATAGAAAGGTGGCCGAGATTATGTTTAAGGATATTGAGAGGCAGAGGTGGAGGGATTTTGATATTAAGATTGAGTTTTTTGGAGAGGTAGATTGATGGGGGATTAGAAAGTGGTGGTCACATCACTTGTTTGATACATGTATTTCATACGAGCTCAGTTGCGTTGAATTTTATTGGATTATCAAAATGCTAGAAAAGTAGTAGTTTGCTACTTTGTCATCCCCTTAACTCTCGAGTCTGACTCAGAGTACTCTCCCCCTCTCACTCCCTAAATCTACAAGGCACCTGCACATGTACGACTTCTTATCCTGCAACCAGTATCTTGAAGTTCCTCCATTACTCCGATGGTTTAGATGCATCTCCTTTCGCGGCTTGTCCAGCTGGCGAAATCTGAGTTCCTCCACAATGAAAGCATTGGTTGGGAATAAAGTCTTGTACCCAAACACTCTTTCCGCAACCGTCGGCGCCGGAGCACTTGTATTCTGTTCCGGATCTCTCCATATTGATATTAGGTCTTAGGTCGAAGGTGTTGGCGTTTCGTGTTGATGTATGTGGAATGGGTGGTTGAATTTATTTGAATACTCTCGCAGGTCGATTTCGGGTGATTAATAGAGTTATGCGCTGGAGTTGATACTTTTTGATGATATTATAAAGGTAAAACTGTGTAGTGAGAAGCAGAAGACGAAATAGAAATCTAAGTAGAAGCTAAGACGATACGGTGGCGAATTCAAATGCAATGCTAGACTGGGCTGTGAATAGCGTGTTCATGTTACTGATCTTGTCGCTGTACTAAAAGCTAATTAAACCTTTAGACTCGTGAATGGTAATATATAATGCGTATCAAAATGGCCTTTCTGGGCGGCTGGTTTATTTGAACGTGGACGAAACCACCGTCAACCTGCTAATTCACCCTAAAAGGCTAACTGCTATGGCTGTACGATATTTGGTGTGCTAAGGAACCCGTACCGCTCCAGCCAATTCGGATCATGATGCGTCAAAATCCGGCCCGTCAGAATAGCTTTTTGAAGTCACTCCACCTACTCACCCATCCGAATATACCGAACCGATGATCCGGTATTTGGTAGTATTCTTTCTGTTTGGATCAGCTTGGCAAAAACTCGTATCCATCAGGATCTCCATAGACGATGATCCGGGGACCGAAACTGGGTCGATCGCGCGGATATCGAGCTCAGGGTACCCAACACTACTTGAACCCTTCTTCGCTAAACTTCGATAACGTTTAGGTCGGTAAGATTAGCATCCTCCTTATTCGTACTACATGTAGTATCGGCTTTTGAAAATTCATGTTCATGGTAGCAAGGCCACGACACAAACAGATAGCATTTGTAAAGCCGTCCACTTAGCGCGAAGAATCTAACGCAAAGTCTTTGTTAAGTCCGTTCGCTATATTACTCTTAGCTCCGTAGACCTTGGGCTAGATTGAATATAAATGTCTACGACGCCCTAACTAACCTTAGCCCCAACGGCCCCCCTTCAGCGTGAAGCTATGACAGTCTCCACAATCCTCAGCTGTGGGTGCCATTTGTCACAAATTCGGGCCGACTCTTGTGATGTGTCCAGAATATTGTTAGGCTAACAGGCGGGACCGTCCGAGTTGATGGATTAATGGGGTACGATGAATATGGAGTTAAAGTTGGTATGGGGCGGTTGTTTCAATCGTTTTCCAATGTGCGGTGACCGTTATCATGTCCCTGCGGGGCAGCCACCGCGCTCTGATCTGGCCATTGTATTGAAAACATCAGACAATATTTTCAGATTCATATGCGACTTTGTGGGAACTTAATGAAATAGTCGGAATTCAAGCCGAATCTGGGTTATTGAGAGAATGTAGTTTGAAATTTGGGAGAGGGCTGGGTGTCATCTATCACTCATGTGATCAAGCGAAATGTTTAGGGACTTCAAGACTCAATCAAAAAACATTAAAAATTTCATATGCCCGGTCCTTCCAAAGCTGATCTGTGACGTAAAAAATTATATCCAAAATTTCAATCAGCGCCATAATTTTCCTGCTCCCATGACCGTAAGATTTAACATAATTCATATCGCTGGCATGACTTTCCCAAACCATTCCTTCATAGAGGCACGTTATACCCCTTGAACTTTCGCGCCGGTATTCCTTGCTCAAATAACCAATCCAGCTCATCAAATTTCCTCCCGTTAGTTTCTGGAACTCTTAGCCAAACCCATAATGTTCCCAAGGTTGATGTCCCAGCAAAAATAAACCCAATCTTTCCTCTCAGATTTGCTGAGTCTGGATTGATCAACAGTGGAATAGCAATATTCATGACAATACCAAACACACTCTGTACCACTATACCCAATCCAACTGTCCTCGAACGTAATGATGAAGAAGGAATTTCAGCAAAGAGTGCCCATCCCATTGGTCCAATAGTCGAAAGATAAATAAACGAGAAAGTGATCACACAAGCTACTTGACCATAAGCGGGTCCTTTGCTGGAATAATTAGGTAGGATATCCAATATACCAATCACCAATAGCAAGAATGTCAACATGGCTGTTCCGACAAAAGATGTAGAACGACGTCCACATCTGTTGATAAGAAACCATGAACAAATCACACCCAGTAATCCTAAAATCGTAACTCCAACTGATAATGTAAATGCGTTAGAGTCAGACATGCCAGCAAGTTCAAAGAAGTAACTCGAATATCCAACCGAGAAAACGACACCGGTAAGCTGGGCGACGGCGAAGATACCCATCGAGATTTCGGTACGACGGAGGTTGGAGCCCCGGAAACAATCAAGATAAGTGGTTTCGGAAGAATTCTTGGACTCTGTTGAGATGATCGTTGTCATTTCTTCTGTAGTGTCAAGAGGAGATTGATAGCCTAAACGAGCGAGAGTGGAGGTTGTGCTGTCCATGTGGGAATGACGGAGCAGATACCAAGGCGACTCAGGTGCAAATGGGAGACCGAGAAGAATGATTGTTGGAAATATAAATTGGAGAGCAAAGGGGATTCTGTAGGCATTCGCCGAGGCAAATGTTCCTGTGCCCTTAAGAACGAGATTGCCCGTGAGTTGACCAATGGAAATAAGTAGTTGAACCCCAGAGGTGGTTAGGCCTCGTATAGTCGCAGGACATATTTCGGCAGCATAGCTTGACGGAATGGTGAGAAATGCACCCAAAGCGAGACCGTTGATAAGCTTTGATATGTTAGTTCAACCCAGAGTCTAAGGGGTGGGGTAATCGATCTTACCTTGCCTACTAGTAAAACCACTGACGACCGAGCGAACACTTGCAAGAACACACCGATGATGCTGAATATGCACCCAACTCCCATTATCAACCGCTTCCCAAATCTATCGGTAAGATATCCGGTCGCAATGGCTCCGAAAAATTGGCCAATGTAGGAGGCAGAATTGAAACCCGTTTGCCATTTTGAGCTGATTATATATGCGCCTTTGTACTTGTATCCAAAATCACGCTCGAAAGAAGCAATTGATATTGCACCACCAGATATCTATATATATTGTTTAGCCATCATTCGTGGATGTTGAATCTCAAGCGTCTACTGACCTGAATATCCATTCCCCAGTTGACAGCTGCCAAGGCGAAAAATCCGGACCAAAACACCGCTACTTTGTGTCTCATCACCATCTGCCATGTCGAAAGTTTTTCTGGTCCCTCTTGAGTTTTCAAACTCGCGATTTGGGTAACCGGCTCCTCAGAAACAACAACTACCTGTGTGTCCTTCATTATCATAGATTCATTACAGTCGCGCTCGAGAAGAAAAAAAGTGGTCGGGATCAATTCATTCCCTGGGGATTGCCTATGAAGATATTATACAAATGCTGATCTTTAAGTGGGAGCGTGCTTAAGCATGTAAAATCTGGGGAAATCCCGGAATAAAGTATATGCTACCTTTTACAGACAAGAGATTTAGGGGATTAAACTCAAAATGAGGATTACTATCAAATAAAACTAATGTTGTCAAGGGGCTGGGGTTTCTACAAAAGCCGGTGAAGGTCGCCCCTTGACTTTACATTCTTAGGAAAGGGGTCAGATACATTTTGTTGAATTTGATTTGTTCTGGATGCTGGGCTTGCTGTATGAAGGTTGTATGGTAAACTAAATTATGAATAAGCGGCCACAATCTAAGGCTAGAAGACTTCGAACTCTCAGACCGCGACAGCTAGACGTTGACATTGTTCCATAAAAACTTTGAAAAGTGGATCAACCAATGAAATGCCTCTGATTATTCCCAAATCTCTTTCTAAACTTTCAACTTCCTTGTAACAATTGTTGACAATGATTCAGACTTGAACACTCAAATGCAATTAAACGTGGCTTTGGACGCCGAAGAGTTTAGACAATAAGTTGATAACGGGGAACTTCGCTAAAAGTTAGAAGACCGGAAAGAACTATGTGACCCCTGCAAATATCAGAAGAATGAGTCTCCCCAATTCCTTTTTCTCTATTTCCCAATAGTCTTGTGCAAGCTTCATTAGATCTTGCTGGTCGAGACATGGTATTGTAGCGATGAATCGTTTAATAATATCAACATCGTGACCGCTCATTAACACAACCGCTCGTAGCAAGATCAACACTCCAGCACCTCCTAAAACATGCGAGATCATTGGTGTAAGCCAATATGCTGTCTTCATGAATTCATAAAACAGTAACCCATCGTAGGCACCAAGTCTCCAATCTTCTAACAATATGTCACTTATTGCCTGGAGTAGGTGCAAAATTTGTTCCGCTGCGAGACTTTCCATTTGCAGGTCTCCCAGCAGGCCATAGTGGTGCATATCATCGATGCGAGAAAATAGAGGATTTTCTATGTCGCCGAATGAGACCCCGAATGGATTTGGACAGCATTGCGTTTGTTCCGAACCGCTTATCACTGCGCAAATCCATTGCCCAGCCTCTGACAGCTTTTCACGATCATTAAAATGTTCGAATGTATCCCCAAATATTTCCATAAAATCGATTCTCGGATTGCCTCTTTCACGAGCTTGATGGTGAATACCCGGTAGGTTGCGTTCAAGTTCAATTGACCGCATCGGTACATCACCTCCATTTCGAAAGCTAAGAACTACGGGAGGTGAAGTCCTTTCAATATGCTTGACGGGGCCCTTGGGATGTAAGGGTGGAATCGGCAGACAACTCGGGGCGTAATGTCGATTATTCCGTAACCCAGCCGTGATAATTCCATGATAAGGAGCCATTTGAAAGACTCGGAATTGGCTTGATTCCTTCAAGGTTATTTTCTCGAGATGGAGGAAGAGGGATTGGATAGACGGGGGAGCAGGAACACTTTGAATAAACTTGTATTCGCAACAAAGAGTGTTTGATTATGTTATGCGCAATAATGGAGGCAATCAGGCACAACGAGTTGATTAGAGTTCGAAGAGATGTCCATGAGCTTAATATAAACAAACTTTGGTTCAAAACCTTCATACAAGCCACTGCAATCACTCTCGGGTTGAGTCACACAAGTGCAACTTCCAAGATGCAAGAAACACAAAACGTAAAACGATTAAGTATTATTGGCTTGAGTCAATAGTTCACATCTGTAGTATTGAAGTGATCTGACATATTGTGCTACGCAAACATTGAAAAACGCCCAGATACTATGTCGCTTGATTGCGGACATGAGAAATGGGGCGGTATGCATCTGATAACATATGATAATGGTGGTGGATGAGAATGGGACACTTGACCAGCAATCACAGCACAGTGTAATATTTCGTGTATGCAGAAGTAGGCTGATAAGAAGGTCATGTTCTAGGAAATTCCGAGGTAGCTGCGCTACGGGTGGTAGGATACGTCTTAAGGGATATTGCCTACCGAATCAATTAGAGCAATTAAGCAAATGTGACGCAGCAAGGAAGGTTAGCTGCGATAACTGTTTCTCCGAGACCTTTATTCGCTTGGCCATCAGTATGTATGGTCCTGAAATATGAGCCCAAGAAATCATCAACTCTGACGTTTGTTCAAGTCGAGGAATTATTACTATGAGGAAGGACTCAGTCAAGAAAGAATGGACTGACTAAGCAGAGATGCGCAGAGGAGCCTTGATCACGTGTATGTGAACCTCTTGTTCAGTCTTTGTTATTCACATTTTTTACTTCTAGTGACATTTGGGCAGCAGATCAATGCTATTCATCTACAATCTTCATCTATAACATCATGCATCCGAATGTAGTGGTTATTTATCAGAGTTTCCTGCTTATCAGTGCTTCTTGTAACAGAAAGTAGTTTCTGCTTACCACACATCATACTGGGCCTGTGGAGTGGAAGTTCACTCAACTCCCATCGGAATGGATATACGTAAATATCAATGAGAGATCTATCATGGTATTCGGTTCCTTACACGATATTAGCATCTTAAACACGATCTTTTGCTCTGTCTTTCACGGCGATATATATCTCCAAGGTCTTCGTCCAGACTATGAAGTGACTACTTCTGACATTGGTGTTGCCAACATTGTCTAGCAAATACACATCTTTATCATGGGTTCAAATAAACTGGTCAAACGAGATCATATGTAGCATATTGCACAGTATAAACTGTGTCTAGCCTAGGAGCTTACTATTCCATGCTATCACCCACCTTCAATGATTAGGCTGGATTTAAAGAATGCTCTCACCTCTTCACAATCTATCCCTCAATTCTTGGTTCATCTAGGAGTGTGTATCTTCAGACCTGTTGCTTGTCGACTTGAAGTCTCAGGATGGACTACCAGTGTCACAGCTCACAATTGAGGACATCGAAATCATGTTGACTGTTCTCCATCTTTCCAGTATTATTTCAAATGTGAAAGTGAACCAAGATCTGTAGGTGTTCCATTCATAAGTACATGATACACACTGAATAGTATGAAAAGATGCTGAATTTGAGACATGTATGTTGGACTGGGACTTTATCAACATTGTTTTATAACTTCACAACAAAAATAATCGAGATCACTCTTAGATTTTCATATATCTTCCTACCAATTCCAAAATTTCGAACATCTTGGCCTATCGTAGCCTACTATGCTCCTACCCGAACTCCTTGCCAATTTTCAGTCTCCGACCAATCACAAGTCAAGATTACCAACCCCCAAAAGAAACAACAATATAGATAGGCACCAAGAATGGATAGCTGCCTAGCCTAAGGCCTTATACCTCTCAGTTCAAACAATTTTCTTCACATCCAGAACCAACTCGGTGACTTCGAATGATTCTCCACAGCTCTCAGTAGATCCTTCGAGCATCAAGAGCTCGAGAAATATCTGGAGGTCTCTTTCCTTTAATTTTCCTTGAGTCTGACTTGCTAGTGCTTTTCTAGTCAACTTCAAGCTATCTACTTAAACTCTGATTTGCCAAAATTGACGGTAGAATCGAAAACGACAAATACCAAAGTACCTGGCAAAAACCAAAAAACAGGACATACCACGCAAAATTTCACCAATTCCTCAAAACTCACACCTCTCAACATGTATTCTGAGTCCAACAATATCTCTGTCAATGTCAGAGGTGAAAGTTCCCCGATACGCCCTACTACACACGAAGTTTTGGTAGACGGATCAGATGTAAGTTTTCTTTTCTTTACCCTCAATTCTTGCAACAAACATCCTCTGGATAATTTTCTGGTCAGTGTATGCAAAGCTTTGGAACATTGGAAGAACTTTTTATGAGTCAGCTTTGACTCCACTGGCCGTCGTTGCCAAATCCAGCCAAGCTGGATTGCCCTGGATCGAAAAATTTCCAGTCTTCCTCCCATCACTTTACATCCTAACAAGACCTGATCTTGAAATTAACATATTATACTCTAGACCTCCTCACCCAAGAAGTCATCGTCAAGCAAGTCTTCAAAGAATAAGACCGTTACACCGAAGAAACAGAAAACGGCAGACAAGATGACCAAAGTCCCCACCGTTGATAAGGATGAAGATGCTTCTGACGTCGATAACCCCGGTCATGAGGATGAACTCAGTTCATCAGAAGCTGGCGCTACCCATGGAAAGACTCTATCTAAAGCAAAAACTGTCACGAATGACGAGGATAGTGGTGAGGATAATGATAATGATGATGATGACGAAGAAGATGCCAAGGAAACGGTTACAAAGAAACCCGCTGCTGCTCCCAAATCCAAGTCTTCTACAACTAAGAAGCTAAATGTCAAATTCAAGGAGGAAGCCGAACCATCAGAAGGAGCACCTCCAAATGTCTCTGATGCTGACACCAAAAAGGCTGCACTAGTTGCTAAGTCCAAAAAGAGACCTGCTGCTGCTATTTCTACGACGGCTGGAGCTCGCAAGAAAGCCAAGCTACCAGCAAATGCCTACAATCCCGAATGTTATGCCGATTTGAATAGGGAAGACAAGTTGTTGTTTGATCTCAGATCCGAAAGTCCAGAAGCTTCATGGAAAGAACTTGTTATTCAGTTTAACCTGGAAATACAGGGCGATCCTGAGCTTAAACCTGATGCACTTAGAAAAAGATGGCCAAGAGTCAAGGCTGCAGCGACTGAAATCAAACACGGTGATGTATGTTGATAGCTGGCCCCTCATCAATATGTTTTTCTCAAATGTCTTGTAATTGCTAACTTCTCACATCAGATCCAAAAGATGTGCATCTTCAAGCAAGATATGGAAGACCAACTCGAGAATATGAGAGATGAGCTGTTGGCAAAATTTGAAAGAGAGAAAGAGGCTGTCTTGCGAAAATTCAAGACAGAAATGTGGACTGAAATTGCCAAAAACGTTGGCCAAAACGGGGGGTAACGACTATGAACCAGCTATTTTGCAAAGAAAGTACGAACTCTATAAGCGCCAGGGTCGTATCGATGACAACGATAAATACTTGGCATGGACTGAGGAGGATGAGAATAGCGTGAAAGCAGAAATTCAGGATGACGAGGAGGAACTCGCCAATAAAGAAGAATACGACGACGACGAGGATGACGAAGAGGATGACGAAGAAGAAGCCGACGCTCAAGAGGATGCAAATGGTGCAGATGAGATCGAAGTCGATATCAAAGGCGAAGATACCAATATGTCTGAAGCCGATGCTTGAACAATACTCAACATCTCGACCACTAGCACTTGAGAGTGGATAGGACTTTATACTGGAGACTTTTCTTTTGTGTGAGTATGTTTCGCAGCAGAAAAGCCTTAGCATCGCCAACGGTCAAGAAAGCAGAGCCACTCACTCAATTGCGTTGCCATCAAGATCTCATGCTGCAATCGTCTCCGCTTCTCCTTAAATTTGCTTCTGGATGTTTATTGGTCAGGAAGTACGCGATTTATGATGGCTTCACTACTTTTTTCTTTAGAATTCATGGGAATTTCACTGGATCTGTGCCATTTTCATTATTATTCCGATATTGGTTGCTTCGATTTTAATTGGGATGCGGCGGATAAAGATGGGATTCAGAAAGAAAGAAAGTGTTCCATACAGTGGGTAGGCGGAAAGCATTAGCTGTGATTCAAACTTCATCAAATTGCCGTAGCACAAATGAATTTGTTTCTGTCTACCAAAAGAAGGAGATGTCTTAGGTGTCACGTATTGACTTGCCATTGTGATATGACTCCAGGACATTCAATGTATCTAAGACGATAAATGACCCAAGCTTATCTCGTCTCCCTCCGAGGCAGAGTGGTCAGGCCTTATCTAGATGTGATATCAAAAATGACATCTATCCCGTCTCATCATTACACCCAAATATCTTTGGACAATAGTATCTCGTATATTCCGACATACCACCTCCATATCAAAGGCTCATAAATTGGAAAACCCATGATTTATTTGAAAGAAATGCCAATATTAAAAGTATCTCATACCCGGTAGTGAGAACTAACGTATCTCAACGCCATCTTGACTCACAACATAAGAATTCGAGACCAGTTGAATACTGATCAATGCATGGGGACTCTCCCAAGGCCCAAAATCGTTATACAACCCAACACAAACCATGCAAAGAACTCCCTCTCATATCAAAACATTGCATCTGAGAATGAACTTATAAACTCACAAATTGATAGTCCTCATCCTCTTCATTACACCAACCGCAAAGTTTCTACTCCTTCTGGCCCACATCTTGAGGTCTGCCGCAATAATTCAACTGAGAATGCAAATCGCCATTCCTTCCAGCCATACCTCCCAGCTTCCATATCCCAAAAGAAGCATGCCACCTCCCCCAAACCATGACACCCTCCATTCCAATCACACCAACTCTTTCATCCGACTCATCTTCGACTCCCAGAAATCCACCCCCTCCCCAACTATCATCTCAGCCATCGCCGAACTATCCCAACACTGCACCCCGAACCTCCCACATAAAACCCTCACATACCCCTCCTTCCAAAACCCTTTTTCCACACAAACAACCACCTTCTGTCCTGTCCTCTTCAACGCCGTCCCCAATTCCACCAACGCCGTTCCCCCCGCCCCTATTTTCCCAGCGCGGACATCCGCTCCTATGAACCCCACCACAACAATATCCGCTAATTCCAAGCCCTCGAGTTCGAAATTCACCTGTGTGACGAATCTTTCATCCGAGGGATCTTCGCGCCAAGTCGAGTCCCAGGTGGGGTTGTAGGGATCGATTATTGTGACTGGTGCAAAGCTGTTTGCTTTGTCAGGAACATTTTCATTATCTGTGGATGTGGAACGAGCGCGGGCTAGGAGACAATCTGTGAGAATCTCTTGCCAGCGACTCTCGTCTTTATTGTAGTTTGTGGTGCCGGAGAGGAAGATCATTGGGTGGGGTAGATTGTGGGGGTTGATGATTTTGCCATTTTCGATCAAGTCTGAAGAGGGGGTTAATAGGATGGTTTGGTTTGGCGACTTGGTGGATGTTGACATTGCGTTAGAGATGAGTGCGTTGGCGTACTATTCCGATGTTGAGTTAGAAGATGATGTAATATTGCCGGACGATTGAGGCTGTAGTTTGTTTGATCTACGTTGCATCGCATCTGCATCTACAGTTGTCCATTGACCAATCACGAACCCCCAAACCTGGTCATATCACTAGGCTCGTGGAGCATACATCCCATGTAAACCTCCATTAGATCATCTTCTTGAAGTATATAGAGTATATAGAGTGTAAATTCAATCATAAATAATCTTGTCTCCAATCCATCTATCGATCCTCTAACTCAACTCCGTCATCGAATTCGTCTTCTGTCCCTTCCGTTATATGTTCATTTCTATGATCTTGCGGGAATCTAGGGCTCCCTCTCCTTCCTATCGTCTCTCCACTTGCAAGTCTAATTCTTCCACCACTAGCACTATGTACTTTATTACCCACCCAAGTTCCCACACTTCTCATTACACCCCATAGCTTTTCTTCATTGTTTGATAACACGGGACCTCGTTCTTCTCTGAATCCTTCGTTGGCCTCCACTTTGAATTGGTATTTTAGGACGTCTTTGACAGTCACCAGGCCTTCTAGTTTCCCATGGTGTTCGATTAAAATTACTCGAGGTCCGATCTTTTGGAATAGTTCCATAACGGTTTCCAATGGCAATCGAGGATGGACAGTGACGGGCGTAGAATCTATGAATCGACTAAAATCGACCGATGATGATGCCATGCCTTCGAATGTTGTAGAGGCTGCTGGTGTAGTGGGAGTCATGGGATCCTGGGTCGAATTGTTGTTCAGAGGCGAAAAATAGCATTTTGCCGAAGGAGAGATAGTTCTATCTCGTTTAACACGATCGATTGCATACCTCAATTCTGTCCGGCCAATGTATCCGACTAAAATATTTGAAACACGATCTTCCACGATTGGAAATCCTTGATATCGATCTTCGAGGAGCAACTTTTCCAAGTGCCTCATTGTATAGCCAGTTGTTGGCAAAATGACCACATCGCTTGTCATGACTTGAGATACAGGCACACCAAAAGTATGTTCCTCTTTATTATCGAGGAAAGGAAATCCGTTGAACCAGATCATGCGATCAGCTATACCACCCTTTCCAAAAAATTCAGAAACGGCTTTCGTTACGCCGACAACAATCATAGTTGGAAGAATGTAGGTTGTTGCACCTGTAAGCTCGAACATAATAACGACGACAGAGACAGTAATGTGCATGATTCCACTCAAAGCGGCAGCTGCACCAAGGAATGCATATGTTCCTGGTGTGATACAGGGCACATCGGGTTGACAGGCAGCAAAAAATACGGAGGCGGGATATGCTTCATGAATCGCCTGAACGAGAATACCGATAGTACGACCAAAGGATGCTCCAATTGCCATGGATGGGACGAAAATTCCAGCTGGAACTTTGCATCCATATGAGATGATCACGAGAAACATTCGAATGATAGTTGCCAAAATCAATGAAAAGACCATTTTCCATCGGTTCTCTTTATCACAAAGACCATTGTAATCCTCCGCACCTTCACATTCCAAGAACAAAATCTCCATACTCTCGGTCATATCGATTCGTAAAAATATGTTCGGATAGCAAATTAGAGCGGTTCCAGTCGCAAGTAAAGTCGCTTCGAGTATTGCATATTTGGAGAGATACTTCTTTCGAAATGATTGTGCTCTCAAATTCCACTTGATCATAAATGCTCCATAAAGTCCACCGAATATACCTAATACGATGTAGAAAATTACCTCGAAGAAGTGCCATTCACGATCATAATGAACTTGAAACATGACAAGTTGGCCTGTTCGGAATGGGTTCATTGCCGCAAGAACAGCTGTTGCAACCAATGCGCAGAAATAACTTCGCCACATGGTCTTCAGGGGAAAGTATGAGGACATCTCTTCGAGAGAAAACAACACACCTCCTATTGGGCTACCAAATGCCACAGCAACACCAGCTGCTGCACAAGCACTTAGAATTTCTCGAGTTTTGGAGGCATTTCGTTTATATTTTTCGAAAAGTCTGGAGATGACATTGCCGGTACATACTGCATAATGAACACTTGGTCCTTCTTTACCTACTGATAAGCCGGATGCAATTGCCAGAGGGAGTGCAATTGATTTAATGATCAAAGTCCAGAATCCAAGAAATCCTTTCATGACAAATCCAGCAATGATACATTTTATCTCAGAAATTCCGGATCCAGCTGCATAAGGAGCAAATGATCTTACGAGACTTGCTGAAGTCAATGCGAATATCGTCTGAAGAGGTCAGTATCTATGCGATTAAATCAAACGAAATTACCTGCAGCAAATAAAGTGTATATCACATAATTGACTGGTGGGAAAGAGCTCCACCTATGCCAATCATCACATCCTATACTTATTTAGCACCACATTTCTCATCTACTGGTCAAAAACATGCCTGTATCTTCTCCCCAGCAACAAAAGCTCTCGTTGAGGTAAAATCCAGTCTTACAATATCCCAACTTAATATCTGACAGCCATTCCGTAATTATGTTCAAAAATGCAGCATTAAGACCAATTGCAGCGCCTACACGTTTCGCATCAGCATATTACCCTCCACCACATTTATACCACTCCGTACCTATAATCGTAACCACAATCCAAGCTTGCGCCGCATCATAAGATTCCCATAACTTATATCTCCAGCCTGCGTGTCCACCTCTTTCAAAAAATCCCGCTGTTTCTCTCTTTCGAACTTTCCTTCGTATTTGTTCTTTCGCCGCATCTTGAACCCAATCTTGAGAAGTGTCAACTTAGTTGTCGCAAACCGAACAAGAGGGGTGTTACCTATAGTCGTGAAATCCTATTGAACCATAATTAGCGCAAAGCTTTCGGAGCCGGCAATTGTAGTGCATAGGGTAGAATACCTCATAAAGTTTGATTTCCTCGATTTCCTCATCTATCTGACGTTCTGCGACGTTCGGCACATTGGTAGCCTCGCCTTGTTCAGCACTTGAGACGGCAAAGGATAGACGATGAGAGAAAGAGGGACGTTGATGGAGGCGCGCTGATGGCACAGAAAAAGAAGATGATCGTGAGTTCATGGCCCCATTTGTATCGACACCATTGTGGGAATTGCAGTCATGATACAAAAGAGCTCGATATTCGAGATGGCTTACTGAGGGCAAGCGCTACATGCGGCCGCAAGCGTCGGGTAAATGCTCTCGGCAGTCAGTCTTTATATCAGCGGATCTCGTTTTGGTTGGTATGATGTTAAATGATAAGAAATCCAATTCTCAATATAAAAAATATTCAAATTTCATCTGAGTTCTCAGATTTTGATATTTATTTTGAACTGAATTATTGATTCAAGAAATCGGTGTGATATTAAGACAAGCTCAAAAAAGGCCAGTTTCCGTTCGTTTTTTCGCATATGTAGAGAGTCAAGCTAGTCAATCTCTCTCTATTATCACTTTGCCTAGATTTTAACGCCTTATAGATTGGTCGCATCTTTTCCTGCTCAATCTCAGGCTGAACGTTAATATTCGATGTTTCTACATGTTTCCTAGTTTCCGCTTCTTGTCAATGTTTTGACCGCACGCCACCTTGATTGCAGGCCGTTCGTGCCACGCTTTCCAGCTGTGAGCTTCACATGCTCTGTAGCTTGCTTCATCGGAAAGTGTCAAGTCTCTCATACATTCTGGGTAATGCTTATCACCATTGATGCACTTGTCTTCCGGGACTTGACCATTTCGAAGTACTCTTTTTCGGCTATCTTGACAAATTCTGCGAGAACTCGAGGCTTCTTCGCTTTCCCCAATGACGTGGGATGGACGCCTACATGCCTCGTTACCACAAAGCTTGCTTTTCGTGAAGTAGCTATCATCCGATGAATATTTCGCTTCCAGAGCTAATATGCCTTCTTTGGGTGGCATATGATTTGAAATAAGCAAGACGACCACCTCGTCCAGGATCAGCAGCCATGTATGATTCATTGAGCAACGCGAACAGCCATATTAAACCCTATTGCCGCAGATGCCACCGCTCCCTCTAGAATGCATTTTGTCAAGTCCAGAAATGCCTTACTTTCAAGCTCCAAGAGACTTCTGCGAATGACTGCTAGCGTTGTTTTCTCCTGAAGACCTCTTTTGAAACACGTTGCATGATGTGGAGGATCTGACGTTCCAGAGACTTTTACATGTGATTTAGATTTCTGAAACAGCTCGTTTGCCCATGCTATCGTCTCAGTCCGCCATGCCCCATCATTCACGAGAGGTGAAAGGTTTGGTTCTTGCTCACTTGTAGAATCGTTAGGGACTTTCATATAACGCCTCGTCAGCAACAGATCTACCCTTTGTGGAATCATCATATGCAGCAATGTTTTCTGCAGCAATACTCTCTTCCTTCAACTGGAACGAGTCATGTCTATCGAAGTCGGCTCCACCATCATCGCTATCATCATCGGAAATTTCAACAATTTCCAACTTGCGCTTGATACCGCTACCAGAAGCATCCTTTTCCAGGTTCTTTGTGCCTGTTTAGTCGTCAACTTCTTCTTCCTTTATAGCCGATGTGAATGCTTTGCTTTGATTATGGCTCGGTACTGTTGGCTTCGCAATGATGGTTCCTGTCTTTATTGTTGTTGAGTCCATCTTGCTTTTGCCTTCGGTCGAATCTGTGGCCGTCTGGGTTTCATTATCTGGGATATTATTGCTCACTTGAATGTGCTGCCCCTCAATCGTCGTTGTGTTCTGTGCAGGTAAGCGTGCGGCACTCTTAATATCCCGTTTCCACGACGATACAAGTTGTTTGCGTTTACTTTGGTGAGACTGAAGACCCGGCGGCCAACATGAAGTTGGAGCATCCCTAGATCTAACAATACTTGCCGACTTGTTTGATGGTAGCGTAGGTTTGGCTTCTTCGACGGTATTCGCAATGGTGGACGCCCCCACTGCATTTTCTGCAACCTCCTTGCTTTGACTTTTACCTCTATCCACAGCTTCCTCTACAGTGGACGACTTCTGCATCGTCTCATTGTTGCTTTTCTCAACACGTTTGCTTGATGTGGCGGTTCCTTGCATATCACATTGAGCTGGATTATCAGATCGGAACTTTACAGCAACATATGTTAGCTGCTTGTTTAGCACACGGTAAAGGAATTCGAACTCACTCTGGCAAGAATCTTTAGAGCTTTAATCTGGTCATTCTCTGTAATCTAAAGGGCGAACTCGAGGAGCCCCACTGCATTCCCCTTATCTGGTCGACTTTCAAACTGAATTGATAGTTAGCATAGTCAATGGTGAACCTTTTAAAAAGTCCCATATAATGCGTATGCCTCAAATAAACGGAAAATTTCACAAGTGATTTGGACATCTCAAACCATGTGTAAACAAGGATTAATCTAGACATTCCACCTCATTCAAAGCTTTCGAATTTTATACCGAGTCACTCACCCTTAAAAGTACATTGGCAGCCTCCCAAATAGATCCATATGTATGAAAGATCGCAAAACGAATCAGTTCATTTTCAAATCCCAACTCCGCAACATTTTCGATGGTCAACTGGGGAGCTTTTTGAGCAGGCTTTTTCGAGACAGCTCCCTGTGCTGGAGGCTCACTTGTACTTTTGCTGAGGTCGGTCATGGTGTTTTGTTCTAATTGGATGGTCAAGATCAGTGGAGAAAGTCAGGGCGTCCCTCTACTAGATACGTGGCGCGGATTTCTTGCGGAGTAATTGCTGAGTGTGTTGTTATATTTTAAACAAAGTGAGGGGAGGGTTTGAGACTGATTTTGGTTCAATAGGTTGAAAGGTAGAGGGTATGTAGTAAGAAAAGGGAGGGGAAGAAGGTGGTTGAGGTTGGAGAAGCGAGAAAAGTGAAAAAGTGAACCAAATGTGGAAAGGGGAGCGGGACAAAAGTGAACATCTCATTATAATTTAGCAATAGCGTTCTATCACTCATAACACTTCCGCCGATATCGTATAGCATGATTTAAAGGTCATATACATTGTCGATTTATTGGCTGTTTAAAGCACATTTACAAGAGAAGCTTTATGCATCTCGTTTAACACAATAATCCTCCATATCCTCCATATCCTCCATGTTGTGTGCTGCTATACCATCACAGATAATCTTTTCCCACGCCATGATGCCCCTAATACCAAATGAGCCCCCCCCCCTCGCCTCCTACTAACTACTAACACTGCTGAAGACACAAGGCCTTGCCATCGCTGGAAATGGAATATCAAAATCCGCGAAGACTTCAACAAAGCTGAATAATTAAACTCGTAGCAAAATAAAAAAAATTGCAATGCGCCGAAGGCCAACTTCGAATATTCTTTTGAGTGCATGTGCGCCGAAGGAGTATTGTTTAAACTAAGTCTAGGTGATATCAGCTTAGAAGACTTTTCACTTAGTTCGAATGTCGAGGAGATCGCTCAGTTGCCAGAAATTTTTTAATGAAGCTTCATGTGATCTCGAACCGAGTGATAATACTGATGAGCAGACCAAAGCCAAGAGCGCAAATCGAAAGTTATTCTACAGGACATGGGAGTTTCCATGTAACTCCTAACATGCGCGCTAACCTACCAACAAGTTTGGAACGAGCACTTTCCTCTCTCGTTGGACCAGTAAGTAGACATGACGGGTTATGAGGATTTCGATAGGTTCCACCATGACAAAATTGAGCAGGTCTATTTCGGGTCTCGATGCAACATCTTCGAGGTGAGTTGATAGTAGCTGTGTTCCCGTCTGATAAGTGCGATGGACGGGCACAATACCACTGCCATCATCGTCCGAGACTCGAACTGTTTCCTATCCTAACATGTCCAATTCAGAGCATGATTAGGGGAGCTAAGCTACAGACCTCTAGCAAATTGTCTACGGCGTCGAACAAATCATCATTGGGATGGTACACAGAAAAATCGATCAGTTCTCAATCGAAATCCAAGCGGTAGAGCGTTTCAATGGTCAAGTCACCATCTTTAGGAGAAGTCGCAATCTTGCGTTTAAGAATGGGTAGTTTTGGAAGCTCGGCGAGAGAGGTGTGGTGGATTATAACACCCAACAGAAGAGAGATGAGTCGACAAGCCTGGTGGATATTTTTGGAAACTGTCGAGATTGTTTAGCTGTCAGAAAAGAAAGGGTAGAGTGCTTTTTTTCAAGATACACGAACTCGCATGCAAAATCTGATAGACAAACGCTGGTAAAGTGTTCTTTTGATATTATATAACGTGTTATCACGTGAAGCTACAATTTTCCGCCCATCTAGGACTTTTTCCTCAATGTAACATGAAATCCTTGTGGGTCCACTTCTCCGTAGCCTTTCTCTTTGCCTTCTTTGCGAAGCTGATAGGACGTCTACTCTCGACTTTTCCACGGACCAACATATTTCTATATCTATCTTTCAACAAGTTACCCTCGGGTTTCAGTAACCTCAATGATTCTTGCAACTCGTCTGGTAGGACGAGCTCAAGATCCCTCTCTGGCAAAGCAATCTTTCCCAATTTTCTTCTTCGTAGTTCCATATCATCCCCTTCACTACTATCGTCTTCCACGACCGTCAACGAGCGAGCCTTTTCTTTCTCCGCAAGAGCCTTGGCCAATTTCTTAATTTGTGCAGCTTGTTCTTCTTTCTTTTTGTTATGAGCAGCTATTTTAGCTTTCCTTTCCTCTTCTTTTCTCCTCTTTATCCTATTTCGTTGAGCTTGAGTTTTCCTCTCGGGCCTCTTAGCGTTCAAACGAACATCTTCTGCGCCACTCTCAAAACCTTCCCAAGCAGAATCTTCTTCCCACTCTGACATATCTGCTCGCGCTTCCGCAGCTTCTGCCTCGGCCGCAGACCTATTCGCTGCTTCTCGCTTTTTCTGTTCCAACTCAATAGCAGCCAATCGTTTTTTTTCCGCTGCAAGCTCCTTTTCTCCCTCAGTCGTTAATCTCTCTTCGTAATCTGTGAATACTGGGTTATAACTGTATCCTCCCTCCGGCTTTTTAACTGCAGGAATATCCTTTCCACTGGCTGCCAACGAAATTGGCTTTTGCTTCCATGAACTGGGGATTGTTGTCTTTTTTGCCTTCTCGAGAAATGAGAATCTTGGATCTTGTGTCGCTTCTTCAATGTCCTTCTGCTCGTCCCAGGGATCGAATGAAGCTTCTGTGACTTCAACCGTCTTCTCTTGATGTCCGTCGGCAATTTTGCGTAGTCGAGTAAGCTCTTTGTGCGAAATATAACCAGTTCTTTGGCGCTTCGATTCGATAATTCCATCGGTAGTACCTTGTCCTGGGCGCTTTTTCATCGACACAGCTGGAACAGCAGAGCGTTGAGCAATGATTTCATCGGCTTTGAGTGGCTTGGAGGCTTTCAAGTATTTCTTCGGTATCGCAGCATCTCCAGCAGTATCCAAGGTGAAAAGATCAGCGGAATCCTTCTCAGCAATAACTCCACTGCAATTAAATTAGTGATATACAAACAATTGATTCACAAATGGTCTCTTACCCTGCCATCAATTCATCTCTAACTTCGTCCAAACCTTCTTGGACTTCTGTGACATCGACATTCTTTCTCCAAGCCTTCTTTCCCTTCCTTGACTTTTGATTGTGTTGTTGGGGAGCATCTTTAGAGCCCGCAAGTGGTTTAAGGACAGGCATTTTGTTACGGTTGTATTGCTGAAACTTTCGAAATTCTGGCAATTGCAGGAAAAATAATTTTGAGATTACGATAATTTTTCTGATAGCTACGGTAGCCTGTTTGAGCCAAAGGCCCAGCCTCGGCCGCCTCCAACAATTTACGGTCAGGCTATTGAAGCAAGCTACTGAAAGTCGTCCTCCTTTGTTTAAAAGGCGTTACCGAAGTAAATTTACGACTTTCAGAGGTTCCCTGAAATCATCTTAATCAATTAATATAAACTTCTTGACCGTCGTCATATTCTGGAACTTCAAAATGGCGCAAGCAACTGGAACTTACAACAATCCCCTGAAGAAGTTCAAGTATGTTGTTTCCTGTCTTGTCTAATACCACATCACTAATTATGATTGCAGATTGGTCTTCCTCGGGGAGCAAAGCGGTATGAACTTGATGCGGTATTCTATATGAATGACAAGTTAATAATGAATTGCAGTTGGCAAGACTTCTCTTATTACACGTTTCATGTACGACTCTTTCGACAACATGTACCAAGCAACGATTGGTATAGATTTCCTCTCTAAAGTGAGCATTCTCCAAGCACAAAGTCCATAGCAATAAGTCTAACGCTTTCTTTAGACTATGTACCTGGAGGATAGAACTGTGCGATTACAATTATGGGATACCGCTGGACAAGAGAGATTTCGAAGTTTGATTCCTTCATACATTCGCGATTCTAGTGTAGCAGTGGTGGTTTATGATATTTCAAGTACGATATTATATTTGTCTTTCAAACTACACACTCTAATGTCTTGTTAGATCGAAAATCGTTCCAGAACACAAGGAAATGGGTGGACGACGTCAGAGGTGAACGAGGAAACGATGTCATTATTGTATTGGTTGGCAACAAGACAGATTTGAACGACAAAAGAGAAGTAACCACAAGCGAGGGCGAAGAGGAGGCAAAGAAGAACAACTTGATGTTCATTGAAACGAGTGCAAAACTGGGTCACAACGTGAAGACTTTATTCAGGAGGATAGCTCAGGCTTTGCCTGGGATGGAAGGTGCTGATAATGCAGCGACGCCGAACCAAAGTAAGTTTGAATGTGGCCAACGGCGTTGGAGCGGCAGCTGCTAACCTTGGAAATAGTGATTGATGTTAACGTCAACCCAACTCCTGCAAGTCAAGAAGGATGTGCATGTTAAACGAGGAAAGTAATAATGGGAATATTCAAGTTCTTTTCGATGCTTGTCTTATCTGGGACTTTGAAAGTATTAGGAGCATAGCATTTCACAGCGTATTTATATGATATCGATAGCGTACATCTTTGGCGTACCTACTTAATGAGCTCTTGAAGTTATTGTAGACTAGGGGTAGAAAGTTAAGTGATCAGATTCTGGAATAAAAGAACACACTTTACCTCACTGAGTCTTCCGTTATGAGTGCCCAAGGATGTATTACATGTTGACTACTGATCGAACAGTTTTGAAGCCTCTCGCAAGCAATCCCATGATTTCAATGATGAGCGTGACCCTCTTCGAACGGACGGAAAAAACTGAACCCCAAAATTTTACATCGCAATCTAGATTTGACATCAAAGCCTTCAAGTGATATTCCTTTTGGAAATTTTAAGCCCAATAATCTTACAAATGACAACCCTTCTTCTTCACTTTACAAGAATTAAAAATGGAAAGACGAATTTTAGTTCAATTTTGATTTAAGAACCACTTTCAAATTTGCTCTTATGTTTGCGGACTTGCGGTTCGGTCTTCTCGTATATCGCGAGCCCCTTTAAGATTGTGCCGATCCAAATATAGGTGATGGCTTACATAAGTAACACCAATCCGAAGATTCGAACAACCATCTTCCAAGTTATCAATCAAGAACGACTTTGTATCATTCCTTTTGGCGCATCGTTGAATCTTTTCACTTCTCGTCGCAACACATTGACGAGTCAAATTCCTACACACCCGTATAATTTCATAATGGTTTCCTTACCGCGATGGGTGCGGGTTCCTCGCC